AGAATGGGGTTTATGTTAATGCTCCCCGCTTGGTCACATCAGTCAACACGGTATGGAATAGGGGGCAGTTTACATTGATTTATCTTTCCACATTTTTGCGTAAACAAAAAACTTGCCGCATTATGCAACAGGCATTCTATTCACAAAACAATGTTGAATAGCGTTAATCTTCTAGGCGGATTAATGTCACCCAATGAATTTTGTATGATATCAGTACAAGAAGATATTGTATAGATGAAGGCTGCAACTAAACGCAACTCAATTTCGTAAATGTGCCCTTCAGCTTAGCAACCGATCAGAATGAGGCAGGAATAATTATATCCGTCATCTTTGTAAGCAGTGGCGGTCAGTTTTCTTCATTCTGTGCTTCTTTAAGCTATTTCTTTTGTGTAGCTATGTAATTTAATGTTTCGGTGTGCTAAAATGCCGCAGTTAGTGTCATGTTCTATATGTTGGTGTGAAATTTATTTCGAATCAGCGATTTTTTCTGGGTTTTTGCTGCTTCTACTCAAGTCAATGTATTTCTTCAGGCAATCTGGCTAGTCTTGCGTTATAAAATCTTAATGTGTTTTGTTCTGAGTTTTTTTTTCAGATATCGGCCAGTTGAACTTATCTAACAGAAGACAAAGAATATATTTATATTGCTTTCAGACTGAAGACAACAGTCAGTTGTTCATAAAAACATAGTTCACAGTACAACAAACCTTCCTTCAGTAACATTATGCACTGACGGTCTATCTGGAGACAATCAACTATGAGATTAAACTCACTATGACTTGCGATATCACCCCAGCGTGCAATGAATGTACAGTGTAACGCAGTCGGACGTGGCGAATAAAAATTTTAACCAGAGCAAAATTAACAACATAATCTAGTTATTTAATTATAAATACATTATGAAATGACAAAATCTGTGGTTACTTGAACGCACAGATGACTCTGGGCGATACATTAAGTTTACATGGTTGCGTTGCGGATAAATTCACTCTAATAAAGTTATGACTTAACTGCTAAGAGATGATTGTCTCACGAATAACTTCTTAGTCTGCTTCATTCATTATGCATTAGAAGACGGGAGAGGAAGAGGAAAATATGAAGAGATGATAATGAGAGACATGAAAAGTAGCTAATGGTTATGCGGCAATGATAACAGTGGTAATTTAAGGGACAAAAATCAGATGCGGCTGGTTTAAATGAGGGTGAGCACGTGCTTTTCAGGCCTCCTCTTGAAGTTATGCGCCCTGGTATGAAACATACTGTTTTTCCAGGGAGTTACGGAGTCAGGATAAAATTGGGCCAGCAAAACACATCTTTGCAACGTTCGCTTTGAGAATGACATGAGGTACTAGGTTGAAAACTTTTGGGTAATCTATAAGTATCTCGAGAATCAGTATCTTAGAGTCCAAGAAGGTCTTCCAGCTTTCCCATGCTATGAGCAGATTTGATGAGCATGAACTTTCTTTTCTGAACCCGTGTTGTCTTGCGGAGGATGCATTCAATCATTTTTCTTGTCACCAGCCCTTCCACTACTTTTGACAGTATTATGAGTAATGCCACTGGCCTGTGACAGGCATTGGAATTAATAAGCGTTTTGAGGTTGTGGGCCCCTGGTTAAGTTGGTCTACAAAGTTGGCATTAAAGAACTCTGTCTTCTCCAAGTTAGTGAGATCTTCGCCGTCTTACGTTTTAAGAGTCTAGATCCCTTTAGTTGTGAGCGTTCACCTGATCATGAATCTGCAGAGAAGTGTTTATTGTTAGATAGTATTTTGTTTGCTGGCTTGGCCTGAAGACATCTCTCATCAATTTGGAATTTCGCACTGAATTTGTTTCGCAATACCAAGTAAGGGTGGAGATCAAATTTCGTCATGGCACCTCCATGTGCTATGTTTGCCGCTCGACCTTTAGCAAGTGTTCCGTACCAGATATAAAGAACCTCATTTAAGTCCTCTCAGTACTTAAAGTTCATGACCATCAGATGCAGAGTACTAATGTTCGTCAAGTATAAAGGCTGAGGTACTTGAACGTGCTATTTATTGTGGTGGTATAAAGAACTATTCTACGTGATAACCAACTCCACCGTTGCGCATCGTGTTCGTAAGCTGTATCCGGACTTCCGTTTACAATCACAGACACTCACTGAGACACCATGCTGGTGGGTTCTTGGGTTTTCACTGGTCTTTCAGTGACATCTTCTATGGCCCATTTTCATCAAAGACAAAAAACAGTTTTAAAGGATGGGAAATAAGATTCCTATCTTCTGCGACCTGAACCTCTTTTAGGAACTCATTGTATAAACCGCACGCGTAGTTTGTGACAAGTTTTTAGGTGGCAGACTCTAGACTTTGAAGGACTGGAAGTCACTTTTTCATCCAAGTTGGAACGATTCACATCTTCTTAAGTACTAGCTTATTGTTCTACTTTTAGACTTCTCTCTAGAGCTTGAGACTATCATCAAAAGCAATATTTCGAAAGATGTTCGCAGAAAAAGAACACCTGCATGAATAAAACATAACAGAGGTCCAAGTAACGAGCCCCTTTTCTGGGAATAACAAGTTTACTTTTGAGTTAAAACGCGGACTGTTTAGATGCAACCTAAATGAGCCTGTTAGCGTGATCTGGATGCGTCGTTTTAGGCTCATTGATCAAACACATATGACTGACCCTGTCAAGAGAAGTTGAAGTATATCGCATCCATATTTTCCTTGCGATCGAAGATAACGATTAATCAATCTACCACAGAAAGGCAGATCTGAGATGCAAGGGTAGTTTGAAGGGTCTTCGATTCGTCCGCCGTACAAAATTTGGCGGATTTGTTTTGTCCGGCACTTATCCAGTATCCCACTTCGATTTAGGGTATATGAACATCTCAACTTTAGAAGTTTTGATGGAAGTAAAGCCTCTTCTCCCCAATACATCTTTTGGTTCTAACACTATCAGTTACTTTTAACAAGACGCATTCTTATTTCCAGCGTATTTTAACCGTCATTTCACTGACGATTTTGTTGAGATAGTTGCATTGAAACGTTTATACAGAAATCATTGGACGTTACTTTATATGTGAAACTGTTTTTACCTACAGAAACTCCTGACTATTCGTCGGTGATGTTGATCAAGTATTCCAGAAGCGTTTACCTCTTCCAGAGCTTCGTTGCCAAAAACGGTCTGGTTGGCTCGCATCGTTAAGTTCTACTTCAGAAAAAGCTACAAGCACACCTCCAGTCTTCGTTTGCAACTTTTGCTGTCTACGCTATACTGGGGTTGTCATTTGGAAAATCCAAATCATTCGACTGCACTCTGTGTGTCGACAGTAATCCGTAACTCCTTTGGGTTGAGGTCTTCATCATCCTGCCAACTGTTGACGCGATGAGAAGAGTTGAAAGCATGCAGCTTTGTCTGACACCAGTCTTCTCATGAAATATATCTCTGAACTGACCTCCATATACAACGTTGCAACGGACTACTTTAATAGGAACTTCCTTCGATGGTCACAATATTCTCCAGTACTCTTTAATGTCGAACACGATTCCAAAAGGTTCTCTTATCCAAGCTATCAAGTGTTTTCTCATAATCAAAGAAATCGATGAATGGTGTTGAGTTATTTTTGATGTCAAAAATAAATAGTAATTAAAGGCTGCAACTAAACTTAACTCAATTTCGTAAGTGTGCCCTTCAGCTTAGCGTTGCGGATAAATTCACCTCAATTAAAGATAGTTGAAAAGGAAAGCCAAGTGCAGAGTTGTTTAGAGGCCTCTTCATCAGCAATTTGTGCTCCAAAAGGAACAACAAGCTTAGCTGAACTCATTCACTAGTCCATCACATAGACAGGAGTTGGAAAGATGCTATTGTCAGTCCTATATTTAAGGATGGTCAGAGACAGATCGTATCTAACTACTGGCCTGTCAGTCTGACTAGCATTGTCGTTAAGTTACTTGAAAAGATAATTCGGGTTAGGTTACTAAACCACACAGATTCACACAATCTGTTAGCTCCTGAGCAACATGAATTTCATGACAAGCGCTATCCGATTGGAAGGCGGTCAAAAGTGGTGTACCCCAAGGCACCATATTAGGCCCTCTGTTCTTCCTTCTCTAAGTAAATGAATTACCGCTGTTGTATAGGTCGTCGACATTATTATATGCGGATGATATCAAAATCTGTAGAACAATAAGAAGTGAGGCTGATCATCTGGATCTTCAAGCTGACTTAGACGATTTAGTTAGATGGGCTCGAGTTGGGTTCAGAAATCAATTCTAGGAAGAGTGTGCTAATGCACATCGGTCGCGGAAATAGTTACCATTATACTATTGATGGTAAACCTCTTTCATGCGTTCAAGAACATAAAGACTTAGAAGTAATGACAAGTCATGACCTAAAAACAACTACGCATTGCAACGCAGCCGCTGTCAAAGGTTTTTGTGCGTTGTGGTCACTTCGCCGAGCGTTCAAATCCTTTGACGAGGAAATGTTTCGAATTTTATATCCCACCTATGTAAGACCACATTTAGAGTACTGTATCCAAGCAGCTAGCCCATGTCTGGTAAAGGATACTAACTCACTTGAGCGTGTTCAGCATGTGTGAACGAAGTCAGTGAAAGGTCTTTCTAAACTCCCTTAAGATGAGCGTTTAAAACGCCTAAACCTTTTTCCCTTGTCGTATCGTAGGACTCGAGGTGACCTTATACTGGCATTTCGTATCTTTGATTATGAGTTGGGTGTTAATATGTCCTATCTTTTTGCTCCCTCCAGCACTAATAATCTCCGAGGTAATAGCAAGAAGGTTCATAAACCACAATCTAATAAACTCAAGGTGGGGTTCCTTTTTTTCATCGAGTAGTCAATGATTGGAACGCTTTGCCCGAACAAGTGGTATCAGCCCCATCAGTGAATATCTTCAAGGAGAAACTGGACCTTCACTGGAAGGCAATCTGTTAGGATTAACACAGGTTCATCAACCTACCATCCTTATTACTGAAGACTGAAGACTATTGAGGTTTGAAGACAGTGTGAATAAACTACGAAGTTTGCGTTACTTACCATTTTGGTAGATGCTATTTATGAAAGTATGGGTAAAATCCGATAACATAAGAAAGTGTAATGTAGTAAGGGTAATAAAACGTTACAGATTTAAGACTTGCTAATGTGTTTCCATAGATTATCTGTTATCAGTTTAGTCATGATAATATTTTCATATTTTTAATATGACATTTAAAATTTGTCGATGAGAAGTAGGAAACCAACGTGGTAAATATTATAATTGCGAATCGATAATCGCATTTTCATTTATGTGCTAGCTGGCCTCCCTGTTTTGACAGATATAATCGTCCTTATAGTGTTGGTGTTAACTGGTTTATCAACCCTAAATTTTCGATAGAAGTTGCCCAACGTTTTAAATACTATCGGAAATTTCCAGTCTGATGATTGGTGTTAATATTAGCTATGGGAACTAGAGCACGTAGATCTGAACCCGAACCCTGATAATAAGATCGTTTTCGACTACAATACTTCTGTAGTAGATACAAAGTTAATGCAACGAACACAGAAGATACGAAAACTAGATGCTGAAGCATTAAATACGATAGTCGCTATGATTTCAGTAAGCGAAATAGCGGAGTATAGATTCCCTACGTCTGAGCTAAGGCGAAATTCTAATATAGTCATAAAACCCTTTGGCTTGCGGAAAGTCATGAATATTTAATTAATTTCGAGCAACAATAGTGTTCTTCGGGATTCTTATTTGTACCGCTCTAACAGGACAACTCGTAAATAAAAAGGCAATTGTTCTGTCCTCTCGTTTTGATGATCATACGCATTGATATGCTTTCTTCCACTATGTATAACAAAGAATGATCGAGAAGTTTTACGATTAGAACTACTGAAAAGACTAGCCGATTATTCACAAAAATCTTAGTACGCCTATTTCCAGAAACAACATAATTGAAGGACACGCTTGTGGAACTGTCGGTAAGCCTACAATAAATAAAAACTTCATGCGATCCAAGAATCAATGAGTAAAATCTTTATTTTCTGGAAATGTTACTTACTTTTTCATAACACATATTCAAGCATGATATGTTGATGATAGCCGGACTTTCTGGTGTATAGTCGAGTTTTTTACTCCAATTTTATGAGAAAATTATTTTTAAAAAGTTTTTCTTGCAATTAAATCCCATATTCACTGTAGATGTTTAAGTGGATTTAAATCAACCAATTAACATCACATCTGTGATCCGACAATTGGAATTTTACTCATTTCTAATGGGAGTTCCTGGCTTATGGCGTTTGTTAGAGCCTGCAAGAGAGCCCGTAGAGTTACAACAGCTATCTGGGAAAATTATAGCTGTCGGCAAGTCTATTTATTTGTGTTTTATTATTTTGTACCAATAGTAGGCTTAAATTACTTTCGAAGTCCTCTATCTGACGTTTTATTATTAGTAACCGAATAAATTCTCATTTTATTGTCCTTAAAACCGTATTTATTGACTAGTAGTGTGTATTCAAGCCTGTCATCATAATAAACTACTATGTATGACTAACAGTCTTTGTTTTCTTTAGGTAGTCTTGGAGAAGTAAATTCAGCCATTTGTATCCCAATTTTATTTATTATTTATTTATTTGAACACATAAATATTGGTACAGGGAGGCACCAAATATATATGCGCCACACAAAACAATGATAATTTGAAGAGAAGGAGAAAAAATATATATATATATAGAAAACAAAAGTAATGAACGTGGGGAATTATAAAAAAAAGAGGGAGAGAACAATGATGGGGAAAACGGAAAGTTACAATCAGAAGAAATCTTTCAGTTATGGAAGATACAACCACTTTTTATGAAGAAAGTAAAAGAAGGTTACAGCAGGATCGCCACTGGCTTCTATTCTGAGCCATATCTGATAACGTCTCTAGCCACTGCGTTACACCGTCTCTCGGACCCCAGCCAGGGAGTCGTGAAGTACCAACAGAAGCTAGCCCTTTGCAGCTTTCATACCACGACACCATGTCATATACTGACCACCTCTCCACTTTTTCCAACCAGTCCCAGAGTCGGCAAATAATGCACGACGAGGAATTCTCTGGGACGACATTCGTAGAACATGTCCAAGCCACCGAAGTCGGTGTTTCAAAATGGTGATACCAATTTCATTATCGTCTCTGTGACCGAACACACGATGCCGGACCTCTGCATTACTGACATGGTGTTGCCACTGGATGCCAGCAATCCTTCGGAGGCAACGATGATCGAACACAGAGAGTCGTCTAACATCCTCAACTCGGAGAGGCCAGGTTTCACAAGCATAGAGCAAAACTGCTCTCACCGTCGCGTTGTAGATCCGACCTTTTACAGCCAGACTAACATCACGAAGGCGCCAAAGATGGCCCAGATTGGCATAAGCCGCTCTGGCTTTTACTATACGTGCATTGATCTCATCACTCACGCCACCACCAGCACTTATGCAGCTACCTAGATACACGAACTTCTCGACCACTTCTATCTGCTCACCGTCCAGAGTGAGTACAGGATTAGAATCCTGCCAGTCTCGTAGGAGTACTTTGCACTTCGAAGGTGCGAAGCACATACCATACCTACGGACATTGATTGCCAACTGATTAAGTGCGGATTGCATGGCTTGAACATTCTCGCACAGTAAGACAATATCATCCGCATACTCAAGGTCGAGAAGTCTTTCTCCAGGCAACAGATCCACACCACCATTACTTACATCCATCAGAGCTGTTTCCAGAATGTCATCGATTGCAAAGTTGAAGAGGAATGGTGAGATTGGGCAACCCTGCCTAACCCCACTGCTCGAATGGAACAATTGAGAAAGGTGGTTGTATGCCCTCACTCTGCCTGAGGTGTTTGTGTATAGGGCTTTTAGGATGTTTGTAAACTTCTTAGGCACACCCTTCTTCAATAGACAATCCCAGAGAACAGTTCTGTCCAACGAATCGAAGGCAGCCCTGATATCAAGAAACACTACGATTGTTGGCCTTTGATAAGTATGGCGGTGTTCTAACACTTGGCGGAGGGTGAAGATATAATCAATACATCCTCGACCAGAACGAAACCCAGCCTGCTCCTCGCGAGTCAATCTTTCTCGGGTTCTGAACAACCTACGAAGTATGACGGAAGCCAATAGCTTGGACGCAATCGGAAGTAGACATCCCCCGATAGTTGTTACAGGAACAACGTGAACCCTTTTTAAAGATAGGGACAACTATCGACTCATTCCAAGACGTTGGTACACTCTCTAGCTCCCAGGCCTTTGTAAACAACGTCGTCAGTCCCTTAGTCAGAAAGTCACCACCATCTTTAAAAAGAGCCGGAGGTAAGTCGTCTGGGCCCGGTGATTTGTAACGTTTCAAGAGTTGGAGTTCCTTGCGGACTTCCGCCTCATTTGGTGGATCAGTCGTCACCGGCCATGGAGGGCAGGACAGTCTGACCGATGTTGCCGGAGAAGCAGGCCATCGTCCAAGACGTCGATGGATGTTAGTGATTGGCGTTCCGTCATCCTCGCAGATTGTTTCGCTCACACCAGACTTCTTGCTGCCAGTGGCTCGGATGAGTTGGAAGAGCTTCCGGTAATTACCAGATGCAGCTGCTGCTTCCAGCTCGTTAGCACGCCCCGACCACCAGGCTTCATGGTCCTTACGCAAGCTTTGCCCGATTTCATCACGTAACATCCTTCGTCTGTGGTCAAACTCACGGTCACCCGGAGTAGACCGACGGGCTTCAATGAGTTGTAAGGAACCAGAAGAAACCCAGTGCTTGTAAGCAGGACGTTTCGCGAACCCACAACAGACTTTACCCGCCATTTTCATGGCGTCATGCAATTGCAACCAATGCTCATCTATACTTTACGGTGGAATGGTAGCTAGCCTAGAAGCTAGCTCGGTTCGATACTTAGTAGCAACAGAAGTTGCAGCCAGCTTGCTAACATCAATCCTTTGGTGGCGGTCACTTCGTTGTCCACTGAAAAGTAAGGTAAGATTGGCGCAGACCAGAGCATGATCAGATTCCAGATAGGTACTCCAAAAGGAGCGGCAGTCTTGTACACAACCACGCCAGCGGTAGCTGATCGCGATGTGATCAATCTGAGTCCAGGCTTGAGATGCAGAAGGAGGACGCCAGGTGGCACATCGGCGATGACTGTGCCGAAAGTTAGTGCTAGCCAGAAACAGGTTGTGGTCTGTGCATAGTTGCAGTAGACGTTCCCCGTTATCTGTCCTGCGACCAACGAGTCCCCATCGGCCACCTAAACGACTCTCTTCTGTGCCTAGACGCCCGACCTGAGCATTCAAGTCTCCAGCTAGTACTACAATATCTGTCGAACGCACTTTCTGGAGAAGAACAGTTAGCTGATGGTAGAACTCGTCTTTGATTGCATCCGGGCTGCAATCTGTCGGGGCATAGGCGGAGATGACGAAAAGACATCGTTTCTCACGCCGATTTCTTCTCACTTTGACGGAACTTTCTAATCTAACAGCACATAACCGACTGTTAATGGGGATCCAGTCGACTAGTGCTGCCTCAGCTCTTGCGCTTAGTGCGACACCAACGCCAGCAAGACCAGACGAAGATGCCACAGGGTCCCCGGATAAACGCACATAAAACAAGCTTTTTGAAGTGACAGATGGAGAGCGAACTTGTAGTACTTCACCAGAGTCTTGAATACGGGTCTCGGATAGACAACACACATCAATATTAAGACTTTCCAAAGACATAGCCAGCCCTATCTGTTGTCCGACCTGCATAAATGTGTGAACGTTGAAGGTAGCCAGTTTGACTGGTGCACGTGGTTTCAGAAAAACTGCTTCAGTACTCATATTCGGTGGTAACATACAATTTTCAACCAGGCAGTGACTCGAGAACGTTTAGATAAAGCTGGATTTTCACCATAGGCGAGCTGCTGTCTAGGTCGAAACGGATACATAAAGTAGGAATAAGAGAGAGTGAATAAATGACGTGGTAAAATAATAATAATAATAGTAATAATAATACGAGTCATTTCAATGTTAATCAGAGAGAAAGGAATATTTTCCATAAGCAAATAGTTCATCATGATTTTAGTGCGTGGGCTGAGAGACTGCCCGGGTGCCCAAACCGAAGCAGGTGGTTTTCTTAGGGAACCACACCCCGAGCCTTTGACCTAAAGGTCTAGTCCACAAGGCAGTGGAGCATCGTGAGGAGATATTGTCCCATGGAAGCCGGTGACCAAAAGTTGGTTCATACGCCATTTGTTCCCGCAGGATACTGGAGCCCATGTGCACCATTGAATTGGGATCCGGTTATAGCGCCGGACGTTCGTTTTTCGTCCTCTCATTTTCATAAACAACACCCCCGCCACGAGAAGGCAGTGAGTAGGACTTCCCTGGCAGAGGCTGTATACGCGTGGCCGTGTGAGAGTATTTTGAGAGGGAGGGCGAACCCTCCCCGCTCTCGGCCACACCAGGGCATTTGGGGGCGTATCCCAATTTATACACGTTCATATTGTGTTTGATTTTACTCTTCCGTCCAACTTCTAAAGGCATATCGTATGCAGTTTTGTCTTTTCCTGTGTACTCAGTGACTGCAGTTTAGCTAATACAAATCTGTAAAATGTGCTCCGAAAAGACGGCCGATTAGAGCTAATTACAGTGACGTCTGCCTTTGACAAATAATAAATCCAAAATGCATCTTGCAAGTTCCATTAAAATCTTGAGTCAATAAAATCGTTTATATGTACTTAGCTAAACAATTACCTATTTTTCACAACCTTCAAATGCAAGGAGGAATGATGAGACTGATGTTCGTCTTTCAATACGAGACTCAATATTAGACGTATTGCTATTAGCCACTTTTTAGGATTTAATAGGCAACTGCCTTACCTTAAAAAGTCTACGTAGTTTTGAGTACATTGGTCCATTGCTTAACCTTCTCCAGTTTTTAAAAGAAGATAGTTATATTAAACATGTCTGTGATACTGGTGGTATTTATTATCGTCTATCGGTACATCTTGTTGCTGTTTAAATTTTTAGAGACTGTCAAAAGTGTAATTTAGTGTCAAGTAATATATGTCAAAAATGACAGGTTCTTGTGCCAACGTTTGAAGAAATATCAAAAAGACGTTATATTAGAGGTGGGTTTGTCCATTTTTAGGTTCACAGTCTCTTGGCATCCAAATGAGCTCCTATGTCAAACTTCGCGTTCGCACCAACGAAGTGGTCCGAAACGTCTTATAACTTCTATGTCAAACAGCCTCGGTTCCTAGATTCCTCAGTTTTGTCTCCATTGGTACCCGAGTCTCCTGCCATCCTTGCTATTAGAAAAGAAACAATATCAGTAGTTTCGTTATTTTTAGTTATTCATTACTCCTCTGTACCTCTTCAGTTGTTTATTGTGCACAATTGTATTTTCCAACTTCTCTTCGCGATTTAGCAAGCGTTGTTCGTAATGCGTAGGTTTATGACAAAGAACCCAACTAACTCATTTTTACACTTACTCCCTCGTCAACCTGAAAACTTCACCCATCCAAAGGATCACTCCAACTCGTGCAATTGTAGTGCGAAATCTGATCAATGAGACAAAAACCCTGCATTCTTGTATCGTCACCTTAATCGATGAATACACCTAAAGTCGTACACCTGTCATTGTGTTGTTTCCCCCTCACACAAGTCGAATGATTTATGTGGCGCATATCTATATGGTGCCTCCTTGTACCAATGTTTATGTTTAAAGACGAACAAATACACAATCTTTAAAGTTTTGAAGCCACTGGATCGTTTTATGATCTATTTGTAACACAACCTACCAGCGGAACTGTAGTCTGCATTTAATTGTAGATGCTACTACGGCTAACGCTTCTTTTCGGGTAACAGAATAATTCTTTTTAAATCATCCGACTTCGGTTTGATTAAACTTGTGATAAAGCGGCAACAACGTCTATTTTGCTGTTTAAAATGTTCTTACCAGAGTTTGGTGACGTTTCTGCGGACGGCTGTTTTTAATGTTCAAAGTTAAGAGGTTATCTCAATGATCATCTTTTTCGGAACTTAAAAACTGTCAACCTAACTCCAGTGTGTATACACGATGTTCATCTAATGTTCTATGATTGATATTGTCCATTTAACTAGGCTATAAATATCTTTAAATAACTTATATTGTCGAAAATTCCTCCATTTCCAAATAATCTTCCTTGCTACTTGAAATTATGTTTAGCTGTTTTTGGGTCATCCAGCTTCAGTAAACAGGTATTTTAAAGTAGTTATCTACTTTGACATATTACATTATTATGGTATTCACTGTAGATATGAACATCTGGTTGCATCAAGCTGTGAAATCTCGAGGCGCAGCAGGTGGTCCTCGTAACTATTTGGCTATATTTTTTCGTCGTTTATGCAAATTACTTTTCTTTGGAATCAAACCAGTATTTGTATTCGATGGTGAAACTCCAGCACTAAAACGATCAACTATGGTGAGTATTTTCTATTCACAATTCTTTGAACCGTATCATATTTTTTTGTAATGAGTAGCTAATATAAATGAATGAGTACTCCACTTCCCATTAGTTATGATATGGATTTATTTTAATATTTTTATTCCTTGTAATGTGTTAAATTGCAAACATGATAGCAATTGAATATATAGGTTAACCATTAAAACTGTTCACCCGGGTAGTTTGCTAATTTCATCATTCCGGTATTTGCCAAATGTAGGTTATGCCATTGAAAATAAAGAATAGTGGAGTTGTTGTTTCAAGGAAGAAACTGTCCCTAAAATAAAAACTAACATACAGTGTTACGTACACAAGTGATCAGTAGTTATCTCTTACAAATTATGAGAGATTTTATAAAGATAAGTAGTCGATAGAAACATAACACACTTTAGGTTGACTGAAGACTTTGTATGAGTCGTACATTCCTTATGTAAACCATTTAATTTCGCGCGATTTTAATCCCCTTTTTAGTAAATCTCAGCAATAAAGTGAAGTCAAGTTTCAAAGATTTATTGTTACTTAGATCGCACTTCGACTCTTGGACTGAGGAGGGGGAAACGAAGGGTTATTGTGTTTATGACGTAGCTCTACAGTATGAAAGATGACTTTGAAGGACTGTGATCTGTCGGTCTATCACGACTTTTCCTTTGGGGATCCTAGAGACTATACTCAGTGTATTGAAACGTTGTGAGACATAGATTAGAATAGAAGTTGTGTTTTTCAGTAAATATTACTCTTGTTAGTTTATTTACTGATTGTGTAACCTTTCATTCTTCTACCTCTTTAGTCTCATTTTCTTTGTATGGTATTTTTTGGTGTCTTGTTTTATAGTAAATGTATGTCAATTCGTGTACCGATCTCTGGGTGACACTTATTGTATGAAGAGTTAATATATTATGCTGTTATAAAATCGTGGTTTAATTAGTTGGAGAATTCAGTTGTCCTGTTTCGCGGCAAAACCGAACAACTGAAAAAATGTTAAATTTCAAATTCTCACTGATTCTCTGGAAAATCACCTTGACATTTCTCAGTCGATCTACTTTATTTTTGAGGCAACTCGTGTCTCATTCATACTAATCCTTTCATAATCATCAATTTTCATCACGGTCATGAGTGCTCACTGGTGAGTAGTCCCATACTAGGACGAAACACCTGTCCAACATCTCATGGTTTTTGAATAGTTTTTGTGATGTAAATTAGCTGCTAATTGAACAGTATTCAAATACATTTTATACCGATAATAATTCAATATTTCATCACAATTTATTACCCAGTAAATAGTCTTTGATATTACTTTTGTCTGTTTCGATAAAATTCATTACGTTGATAGATCAAAAGTGCTTGAATTCGTCAAAGATTAAACGAAACTTCTACATCATTATAAACAAATCGCTACTAGCCTGTGTATAAAGTTTAATTAAATTATAAGGGTAATCTGAATGTTATATACCCTTCATAGAATACAAGGACTTAGTAGTTAACTGAAATGACGAATGAGGATTTAGCTTTTTGGTCATATCGTAATTTCATTGGCAAGTGTGTGAGTGACCTACTCAATTCGCATCTCACAAATAAAATTTAATGCTGTTTAAAAAAAGTGAGATTGTACTTGAAAAAACCATACAATGAGAAATAAATAACTTGGTAGTTTGGGTTAACTTTATTCTTTGGCTTGTGTCAGCAACTTGATCTCGTCAGTAGTTAACAATAAACTGTATTGTATCATTGTACATCGTCTACCGATCACAATTCTATTCATAATATCGATAATTTAATTTAATATTTGTGCAGTTTAACGTTAACTATATTTCGTATTTGATCCTGGATCTTTCTAAAACACTATAAAAATAAGGTATTTATTAATGCGTTGTTCAGTGTCTGATCTTGACACTGATACTCAGGTTTCTTATAAATAAATCGGATGATTTGTGTGGCGCATATCTATTTGGTGCTTCCTTGTACCAATGTTTTTGTGTTTAAATAAATAAATATACAAGATTCCAACCAGTTACTCAAATGTAAGGACCAAAAGTGAGAAGTGTGTGAACTAAACCGGATCAGGAATTCATGTATACTCTCTCTCTCTCTCAATATATATATATATATATATATATATATATATATATCCCTTAGGAATACAAGAAATTTCTTGATCGATCACGTGCACTGATCATGTAGTCAAGTTCTCACTGGCCCAGTGTACTAATTAACATCTAAGTATTATTATCACTTTGTATTTTTATTTATTCTAAATCTACTATTTTGTCACATTTCAAATGTTGATTTTGTACTATTTAGAATTCAAGACGTCAGTTGCGTAGCCTAACCGAAGCAAAAGCAGAAAAAGCCCAAAAACAACTTCTTCGTCGACTTTTACGTCGTGTTGCAGAATCCTCTGTAAAATCACTGTCAACATCACCGGATAAAGCAGAATCTTTTGAAGATACTGGTTAGTTAAAGTTGTATTATTTAATTATGCCAAAAAATATTAGTTAACACTTATCAGTTGTGTAGAAGATAAAATATTATGATTGGATGATTATTGTAAGTTAATGTGAGATTTTAACAGATCTTCGAGTAGAAATGATTGGTTTTGGTTTTTTAGTATTCTGTGACGTGAATATTTTAATTGAAAAAAACTTTCCTTGTCATTCCAAATAGCATCCATCATCAAATACTCCATGTAGATGTAAACGTTCTTATTATTTCACGAGCATCAAACCAGTCTATTCTGATGAGCTTGTTTGTGACTGATTATCGATAAAATATTTACCTTTGTATTCCTGTTGACTATCGATTGACCTCTGACTGTGTAGTTGTTTAATCCATCCACATAAATTTGAGTCCATTCAGAGAAAATTTTGTCAACAATATAGGCTAATTTTCTGCCTCCAAGTTAGTTACAAAAATGTATAATAGTTGAATAATATTATTTGGATGCTGTGAAAAAAACCAATTGAGAAGTTAATCAGTTATGCACAACGTAGAATATGGCACATTAACGCGTCGCTTCAAGTCACCACGCTACCTTAGAAGAGTGAGATAAAATTATCAAGACAAATCTCGGGGTATTTGAATTAGTAACAGTATAAGTAGCAGTAGACAAGATTAGGTATAGAAAATATGATTTGAGTTGAAAGAAATCTATAGAATGAAGAACCTCGGGATCCAAAGTATAACATAGTGAATGCATCTGCATCATTGAGACCGATTCTGAGCCATATCACCCAACGCTTTCAACTACTGGTTACGATAATCAAATAGACGCCATCTAGGCAGTCTAAATCTACTATCACAACTCAGTCCAGTAGTCAGTGATTTTATTGACTGATGCCACGTCTTGGTTTGGTCACCCCTAGCTTTCTTGCAACCTACTCCTACACCAGACAACATCGCAGACCGAGATAAGAGATAGTTGGGTGTATGTAACACATGCCCCAACTACCTCATTCTATAAATATTCACCACCTCCTCAACAGATTTCCTATCTTTAAGTAGTACTATCTGTCTGTCTTTACTATTTCTTACTTGGTAGTTCCAACATCGCAAGTAATTCTCCGAAGGCTTCTATGATCAAATACCAGTAACCTTTGAATATCCTCCGTTTTAAATATCATGCTTCACAGACACAATAGAACAACTCAAACTGCTGCTCGGTATATTTGGATGATCCAACTGATATTTTTGAATTCGTGCGCGGATTTCTTATTTGCCCCTAATTTTTTAGTTAACTTGAGAGCTCACTTCTTATTTATATGATTTATACCATAGACCTAAGGTCCTGAGTTTGATCTCCTGTGATCGGCTCATGGATTTATACTTTTGGGGAGGCCCGTACTAAAACAGAACAGGTTTTAGGCACTTTCAGGTTCCCAATAATGACCTAACTTAAATCCGTTCGTGATTTAATGTATGAAAATACATACACATATTTTTGGTTTGTAAACTTTCTACCTCTGCTTATTTACAGCGAAACATGAACTATTAAGACGATTGAGACAACAGTCAGATTCGCATCAAGCTAAAGAAGATGCTAAGATGTTCTCAGCCCCAAGTCATGACTCAACGTAAGTATCGTTTTTGTATACCAGCGATTGTAGGTTTATGAACCTATCATAAATATTAAAAGCATTTTTAAGAGTTCACTCTCTTTAATAATTTTATGCCCCGATAAGCATAATGAATGGTAACTTTTGGGATCCATTCATGGACCAATACTATGCGTATATTTTCATTGTATAATTATTAAATAACTAAACTATTCATATTCATGTCCCTCTTATTATGAACCTTATTTTGACCTATGAACTATTATTATACGATTTACCATTCTTGAATTATTACCTGTTTATTAATCACTACCTCCCACATTTACAGCCACTTTTGACCAAATCTTGTACAACTGTTGTTTCCTATTTTATGGTACGATGTGGTCTGTCGGGTTGGTATATAAACCCAGTATGTTTGAAATAAATGATTCATATTGCAGAGGCTGAGATTGGTGTTCTGGACTTAGCTGGCTGGGCTAGGCGGAAAGCAGGACCAATCAGGACGTTAGACTGCTCGCACGTGTTTTATGCGTCATTGGTCCGATCGATAACTCACTGCTCCCCAATTGGCGGTCACAAGTTATAACAAATGAAACATTCTTCTGTGTGTAAAATTAGTGAAATCTCACTGGACACATGGAAAGGAACGAAATGTGGCAGGCTCATAGTAAATATTTTAGGATAGGAATAATCACAGTTTTTGATCGTATAAACCTGCTTCGGTTTGGGCACCCGAGCAGTATCACAGCCCTCACACAAATCAATTGAGATTCGTGTGGCGCATATGTATTTGGTGCCTCCTTGTACCAATACCTATGTGTTAAAATAATAAATAATAATAATAACTCATAATAGGAAAAGACGACCGTCCAGTGCTTCCAAGGTTTCCAATAGTTGTCTAACGTAAATCGGTTCGTGATCTCAATGAACTTCAACAACGTCCACAATCCGCACACTGATAATAAATTCATTAAATTTCACTTTTCGTGATCATTGATCTGAAATTTTTAAATGGCGTGTTTGCTGACTAATATTATTTATTATTTTTGGCAAATAGTTGATTTATTTCGTGTATGTGACATCAAAATATTTTTCACTGCCGATAGGGTTCTGAGATGACTTCTCGTGCTTTAGGAATCACAGACATTTTGCAGTTCTTTAGATAAGGAGTTTTTTAACGTTACTGGTTGCTTTCAGACACACTCGCGCGCACAAATACACCTTTACTAAAATGTCGAAAAACATTTGAGAAGAATCAAAAGTAAGCTACTTCAGAATAGGTGACAATGATCCTTGAATTAAGTTAAGCAACGATAAATAGGTGGGGAATTAACCACGAAGGTCGCCTTCACTATCCTGTTATCTAATACAAAAATCGGACCATTTCATGTTTTTGGGTACTGTCTTACTGCTTAAACTGAACTAAATGATTTATTGACACTAACCAAAATCATTTCAATACCAGCGAGGTTTTTACTTTTCCAATAAATTTGACTGTATTTATTTGGTTGTGATGATTACTTTCTGTTTTTAGGTTAATGTTGATCGTTATTCAATCTTACTGATTATTGCTTGTTGTGTAAACAAATCATTGATTAGATTGTTCAGTGATTTCGTGTTCTTGGTGCATTGCTTATTAACCTACAACAGAAAACAAGTTTAAATCACTTAACTTTGGTTATTCAGTTATTGTATATGGAAGAAATAAATTTTCAGTTGTGTATAATTCCCTTTTTTTCTCTACATTGTAGTTCTACAGCATGTAATAATGATAATAATCGTATTTTGAGTGAAAAGGCCGGTTTAGAATATGATGAGCTGGCGCATGATTATTTGGTAAGTAGTCTTCTTAGAGTAACTACATTAGATTTTCTTTTATTTGGTTCGTATTAAACTGTACTGTAGTGGTGGATAATAGTTCAGTAAATGCTTATAATACGTTCGAACTATTTTGGTGTAGATCTCCTTAACTAATATGTCACATTCGTTACGTCATATGTCATCAGTGCCCCGCATGTGGTTCCACCACCAACGAGTAATTATTTGAAGACATTTATTATCAGATACATTCAGGCTATACGCGTTTTTTGCTCCCAAAAATTGGGCTTTATGCTAGTATAATAATAAACTGTTGCACCGGACATTCACCGTTCCGTGGAAAGGCAGCAGTCTCACCTACTTCATAAGCGAAGCAAATTAATAAAAAATATAACGAGGCTTTTGTGCATATGGCTAAATTCCATCAGTTACAGACCTATCAACAGGGGGTAATCAGACTGCGAAATCAAGTAGTGTTTGATTTTCAGTATGGGGTTGTGTAGATTGAAATCATGAACAACCCCGTACTGAAAATTGTCATCTCACTAGTGACTAGCTTTGAGTGGAAATTTCTAGAGTTTTAGTGAGAAACCGTGACCAATGGAGTTCAACTGTGTATGGTGTGAAGCAGTTACCTACTGGAGACAATGTGAGATGGTCGCACGATGTCGTAGTGTTCGATTTGTTAGGCTATGTTTCTTAATATCATCTTAATCATTAATGCATACGTCTTAAAGGAAATCTGTCCTAAATATTTTCGCATTACTATCATTGAAAGCGTTCAAGACTTCATTATTCTTATATCAATTCACCGTCTTTTTTACGTATTCCAAGTAGATAGAAGGGTATTTAGCTAGATAAATTAATAAGGAATAATAACAAATCCACAGGAATGTTCAATATGAATAGACAAATTGAATACTCCAACAAATCCATGCTTAAAATTACAACTTGCTATAAGCTGTAACAAAGCTCCTACATTTGAAGCGATTACGATACTATCCAAAACCCGCAAACGAAACGAAAGACAGCAACACAACGATAGGGCAAGCGAAACTATTCCACTGCGTCCTAGCCCTGCTAACTAGAGGGAAAAGCCCAGACTCAACCAAGGGCAATGTATATCTCACAAGCAATTGGAAGCACAAACGAACTATCACACAACTCATGCGCATATACACAGTACAAAAATGTCCTTAGAAAACGTCACAAAATAGCGTACTAAAGGAAAAAACTAACCAATGACATTTAGGGTCTTTCCAAGTAGGGAATACAATCTGAGGATAAAAATGGGTGCTTTTGCCACGAAAATGAAGAGTTCAAATTTGCAAAGTCAGTCAGTCAGTGATCTTGAGTGCTGCTAGAGGTATGAGGGCAGTTATCATTTCCCGGTTGCCCACACCGTGGAAGGGTTCTCCTGGAGGCACCTGAAGAGGAAATTGGGTTAGAGGTGGTCATAGTGACCTGAGAGCGTGACCTCAGTGCCCAAGGGACAGCTGCTTAAGGTCGGTCACACACGACCTTTTTATGAGTAGTTTTTGTGTTAGCTCCGTACTTGTTGAGACCTTACTGCCGGAGACGGATATCCGTGGGATAAGGCGAGGTGTGCATTTTCAGGGTTGACCTTTTCTAACCCCACCCCTCCTTGTGGGAAGGCAGCATCGCTGTCATGCTGGTTGTCTGAAGGAAACACCTTACTGCTGTCACACCTCTGTACAGTCAGCAGTACGACTTCGCCTTCGGACCTTGAATTTGTTGCTTTTAGTCTTACCGCTCTTCAACTGACCTATCTTGCATGGTAGGACCTTGAGGAACGGTTGTTCCAGCCAGTGTAGCTCAGTTGCTTCATCACGATAGGCAAGCTCGACCACCACGTCAAGGTAGCAACAACGGTCGGGTCAAATTTGCAAAATAAAACTACAAAAATAAGACGTTTACCAAATGGTTCCTGAGGATCTAGCATCTCCAGCAAGAGTTGTAAATGCTTGAATATAGCGTTTCCTACTATTTTGATATACTCATTAGATAGGAGTAATTGTTTTCACTAATATTGTTAGTGTATATACAATCTGCTTTTCACTTAAGTTGTTATCCTCAAATTGGATAAACTTATAATTATATCTTTGATTTTCAAAAATATCTTCCATTAAATCGAAGCATATATTTTATGTGTACAAGACATGGTCATAGAGTAATAAAAATAAAACATGAAACTTTGCAAAATAGCATGAGATTACTGCACACTAATGATATATGCAAATATATCACCTTTAATGGTGATGGCATCAGTATTTAAAGTTTTTAAAAAAAGTAATTTCAATTAAACTGTATTCGGCTGATATTAAAAACAATAAATTTTCAAGGTATTAAATTTTATACCAAAGAAGTATTAATTATTTCACTTTGGTAGTTATATATCATGAATGATATGTCTAGAAAGTTCCTCAGGTAGCTGCTTAATTAAATAAATTCAAGTTCTGTGAACTTGCCGCTAAATCAGAAAAAAGCATCAAGATCTTCAGCGTATAGAAGATATGGAAGAAATTTTTAATGATTTAATGAAATGAATTCTTGATTATTAAAATCGATAGGTGAAGTGTTAATCAATAAATGAGCCAAATAATACGGCGTGACCGAGTGTTGGATACTCAGGAGAATGAATTACTGATGTTAGTTTCTGGATGATTGGAAATCAAAGACAAGATCCCTCTAGTTAGATGAGTAGATCTTACTAATATGATAAAATGACATGCTTATATGCAAAATATTAAGACAAGATAAACTTGATAATTATCAGTATAGGGGTTATGGAGATTACTAAGTTTTTGATTGAGATCGTGAACCGGTTCACGATCTCAATCAAAAACTTAGTAATCTCCATAACCCCTATACTGATAATTATCATGTACTCACTAGTGACTAGCCTCGTGAGGGTTAGAACTAGTCAACAATCGTTAACGAGTCATATCTGCAATCTTCAGGGGATCAATACCCACTGTGCGATTTAAACCGAGTTTGAGATTTTACCATTAAACTATTTGGGTAGCGACTGAACTCTTGTAGAACAGATATTTATGGGTGATCGGTCATTTAAAAGTTGATCGAATTCTATTGAACGATTTTCAATATGGCCACTAGTTGAAGTGACTCGACATCGCGTGCACTATGTAGTCATCAGGAAACTCTGGACTTAGGTTTTGTGATAGTTGGGACAATATCGAGTCACACGTATACTAGTTGATCACATTGCAACTTGAGGGTTATAGAATTCGATTAGCTCAGTGATAACTCAGTTGTAACATCTTTTGATATTGAAAACCAGTCATTCAATTTAAAGTATTTATCTTTTTTTTAATGCTTCAATGCTAATCCATTATACGACGATACCTCTTTTGATACTTATGTTGTATTACATTTGCATGTTGTTAAGTAATAATAATACCACTAATAAGTATTAATATATTTGACTGTTAAACGATTTTTTAAGGATGCTTTCTATTCATCGGATAAAAAGTTTTCTGGGGTTGATCTCGACTCAGATGCATTCCGTGCACTTCCTTTACCAGCTCAATTGCGTGTTGTTCAGCTGTTGAGAGAAATATTAGATTCTAGTTCATGCCGTAACAATTTAGTACAATTTGATGATGAAGGTAAAGTGAGTGCCTATTTTTTCTCTGGATAATTTCATCTTGTTTTACTGATATAGTGGTTTTGTAACTTGATTTACATGTATACTTAGTTTCACGTTGCTTACAGTTAACTGACTGAGTACTTATTCTATGTGTGTATGTGTGTGCCTGTGCTAATGAAGAAAGTTTAGTACGTTTTCAGATTCACTCAATAGTAGCTTATTGGTTAATTCACTTTACAATTTCCACCTATCAGTACACAGATTTGAACCTACCATTTTTGTTTTGATCAACCGGGTAGTTTTTCTAGCCTTCTCACCATAATATGTAGCTTAAAGCTAAGTACTAGATTGTAATCTGTTTTAATTTAACGGCCTAACTGCTTTACTATTCATGTTCCATTATATAATTCTTTTCTAGTTTCATTTTTTCTCAGGTACTAGTCAACAGAAGTAGATGTGTGGCGATTAAAATCTTTTGAATCTACAATAATAACTCATCTTAAATAGTGAGGAAAACGTTAACCAATTATCTAAGTTAACTTTCTTCACCCTAATACCTTAAACTGACCACTATTTGAAAAAGAACTTGAATTTAATACTAATGTATTACGACGCCTAAATATTTAGTCTAACAAACAGGTCTTAATTTATTGTAAGTTAAGTGATCTTCAGAAGTGAATCCTTCCAATCGCCAATGAAATTTGATCATGCTTATTTTGTGTTCATATTCTGTACATAAGCATGTTTTATTACACAAAAATATCTGTTCATCTGACTAGAGTGGTCTTGTCTTTGATTTCTAATCATTCGGAGGCTGACATCAATAGTTTTGTCTCGTTAGCAGCCATCATTCAGCCACACATCATATCATCTCGTTCATCTGTCAACCAGCATTCTACTCCACTGATTATAAAAGTCGGAAAATTCCCTCATCAGTCACTGAAAATCTCCTTCATAACAGTGTTTGTTCTTGACTTTCGCTTTAGACCTTCAACTATTTACTTCAGAATGGAGGGATTTGTGGAGATTGCAGTATTTTCATAGTGTAAATCACAAATGGATCTTAGCTAGACCACCGTTGGAAGCGAACCATTAGGCGCCTGTTTCTTCCTAGTACGGGACTCCTTAGAGGTCCGTATCCTCGATCATACGTCCAGGAATCAAGCCTTGGACCTTTGACTAGCAAGTCCCAAATAGAAAAACACGCGCATCCTGAATTCCACTACTAGCCACATTCCATATATTCCATATAAATAGTATTTTTTAAAAGCAACACTGTGATGAAACTTGACAGTCGTTTATGAAATATTTTGCATCATTATCAGTAATTTTTTTCTTTCCAACTTTACACAAAGCACTATTTAACCCAGAACAGTTCTCAGATGTTCAAATGAAACGTTTGCTTTTACGTCGTCGTTTAGCAGAACGTCAACAAGAATTATCTGATAATCTAACTAAACAAGAAGCTGTTCAACAAATTCTTCAGTTAAACAATCCTATGATAAAAAATATTCTAAATAATCAATCGTTGTTCTCAACTTTACCGTTTTCTAATACGGCACAGCCGACTACTGCTTCAGAAACTACTGAAACCATAGCTACAGCTATGCGTATTCAGTCACAAGATGTAGGACACGCTATTCTCATTAAAAAATCTCCAGTGAATCAGTTGCACGAACGAACTAAATTGCCTTCATCTACAACATTGAGTCTTGAAAAGTGAGTATATTTTTCGAAAGCTTGAATATACACATGTATATAATTAAAATTCTGAACTGATCTGAGCTAGACTACTATTGGAAACCTGGAAGCACTGGAGAGCCGTTTCGTTCTGGTTTGGTAATTCTCATCAGTGCACATCCATGACCCTGCACTCGAGGATCATACCCAAAACCTTCAGCTTCACAGGCGGACATTTATCACTTAGGCACTTCATTTTTAAGGTAGTTGGTAGGAGATGTGGAGGCAAGACATCTTCAGTTTATTATCTTCAAAGATCATTTGATGGGATTCTCAACTTTGTTTATTATTAAAATATGATGAATTTACTACATTTGACTTTTCTGAAATAAACTGATGATTCCAAACAGTTCTGTACGACTCAAACAAAGTCTAAAGCAGTAAATATGGTAGATTTTGAATTCTAGTGGAAGAACCAGTTAGACACTTGTCTATTGTTTGAAAAACTTGTTTCAAATTGTTGATTTTGCCTCTTTACTTAAAGTCGAATCGATCAAGTTTACATTACATGGATAAAGCGTAATTTATTCTCAGAAAATTATGTTTAATATTGATGAGTAGTAGCGAAATTGCTCAGTTTCAGTACACTTCATCTACTCAATACAAAATATTAGACCCATACTAAGTTTGTCATTCAACACATATCTTCCTTTGAAGTCAAATAATAGTAGTTTCATTCAAGATGAAAACGACTGCTTTGTAAATGATGATTTTACACGTCTGTACACTTATTTATTTATTTAAACATATATGTGCTGATACAAATTAGAACCATACTAAATAAATGCCATACAAAAATAAATGAATGAATTCGTGAAGAGATGGACGAATTAGGATGAATATAATAAAAAAATCAATGAATCAGAGTAGTAGGTACTACGAGAAACAGTCTAGTTAGAAAAATATATCTAGAAGAAATCCTTCCTTTCCGTTCATGAAGCTCCTCTCACTTTTATGAAGAAAATAGAAGATTACAGCAGGATCACAATTGGTTTCTGTTTCGATCCATGTCTAATAATGCTTCAAACTCCTGAGTTACACTTTCTTTCGAACATCGACCGCGGAGTCTTTAAAAACAGACAAACCTCGGCCTCATATACCATCCTTTCGTACCATATTACCATGTCACACAATAACCACCTCTCCACTCTTTCCAATCAGTCCAGGCATCGGAAAATAATACACGATTTGGAATTCACTCAGACGATATTCGTATTACATGTTCAAACCACCGAATTCGGTATTTCAAGATGGGAACACTAATTGGATTATCGTGATTGTCCGCGACCACACATTGTCCAGCCTCTCTATTACTAACATTGTGTTGTCACTGTCAATAATCCTTTGGGCACAATGATGATGATCGAACACAGAGTGGCCGAACATCTTCAACTCGGAGCGACCAAGTTTCTGAAGTATTGAGCAGAACCGCTCTCACCTCATGTTTGTAAACCTAGCCTTTCACAACCACACTGACATTACAATGACGCCAGAGATGGTTTAAATTGGCGTAAGCCGATCCGGCTTTCACTACACATAGATCGCTCTCATCTGACATTCCACCACAGCTATCCAGGCGCACGAACTTTTCTACTACTTCTGACATTTCATCACTAAGGCTCTGGCCGTTCTTGTAAAAGTGCTTTTCATTTACAAAGTGCAAAGTACCTGCTACATTGAAATAATATTAGTTTCTTCTTCGTAACCAGCCATTTTCTGATCATCTGATTCATTGAGACGTTCACATAAAAGAACCACCTATATTTATACATTAATCAATATTAGCTGTTATCATGTATTCATAGCTATGTCAGATATTGTATGTGGCCAAATTAAAGTTTTTCTCCTGAGTAAATTTCTTAGCGGTTCACACAAATGAGCATTTTATGAAAGTATTCGTCTATAACAACTATGTTGAAATGTACAGTATTATAGAAGCTATTCGATGGAATGGCTCCATGTTTACATTACTCATTAGGATTGATTTATTCGAAATATTATTATTTCTAATAGTGAATATTCACAAACAATTTTTGTAAATCTTCTGTACATACATACAATTTTTTCTGTCTTACTCAGACTAATTACATATAATGCTGAGAACTTAAATGTGTCTGATGAATGCAAAAAAGTGGAAATTTCAAAAAGGGACCAGAACAAAGAAATACCTAATGATGGTTATATGAGTGAAAACATATGTTCAACACAAGAGACAAATATTTCTACAAATGAAAATATTATTTATAACTCTGGATGTACACCAATCAAACTAGTTAATATCGAAAAACATTCAGATGAACATCAAATGTCTATCCTATCACATGTGACTGACAATAAAAGCCAACTTAATGATAATTGCGAAAATTACAATCAACCACTTATGAAAGATTCTTTTAATGATGATATGTCCAATGAAGTTCTTCCAGAAAGTTCATCTACTATTTCTAAGTTTGATAAGTCATCGGATTTTATCGAATTACCTATTCCAGAACGTTCATGTGACCATATGGGAGTCAAAAAAGATGAAATTATTGCTGAAATTAATATATTGTCTCCCGATATACATGAATCAGAATCTTTACAACTACCTCATCAGGATAAATATGATGAGATCAAAAATAACAGTGATGATAGCAATGATGATGATGATTTTATCGAAGTTGAAACTCACGAACAAGTTGAAATTTCGAATACATCTACTGACTCTAATTTATCACAAGAATATTCTGTCGATGAAAACAATGTTCAAAATGAGGATAAATTAAATTCTGTCTTCACTGAACAAGAATTAGCCGGTAAAGAAGTTTCCTATGAAACTAATCAACAGAAAACTGTATTATCATCTGAATCAGCCGTGGATGACTATACCATTGATGATGATAGTGATGATGTATTGAGAGAAAAAGCTGATCGTTTGATACGTCAAGCTCAGTCGACAACTACGCGTTGTATTTCAGAAGCCCAGGTAAAAAATTCCCATTTTTTATCTGTTTAAATCAAATTTAAAGGTAGTTATTAAGAAGTTGTAGTTAATAGCCTCGCATATTGATACATTGGTTTATCAAGCCAAATCAGGGTAATTTAATCCTTATATTTTCCTTAACGTTTGACTATCGAGGCAGAACTTCTTATCGATTTACCTAAATGATTTGAATTAAAAATTTGACATTTATTTGTAAATTTCAAAGTTCTCATCTTCGAGTTTCTAATTTCTCAAATGTGTAATTAACTCAGAGTCGGTCAAGATTACATACTGGGATTGCTGACATTAAATATAATGAAATAAGGAAGCATCTGTTAAGCGACATGAGTATTTAGAAATCATCTATACATTTTTATATGTATCAGTAACACACACAGTTGTGAGTACTGCCAATATGTGTACTTGACTTTGAGTAACATTTAAAGTCCGAGAGCTGGTGATACTATCCAGTTATCTAAACTAAAGTAGGTGGAGGGGGTATGTTTTAATCCGCGAATTATTGGCTGATGATCGAACTCTTACATGTCAGTTGATTATGGAAACCTGTGATTTGTTTTCTATACTGTTGAACCGAGGTTGAAGTAAATCCTTTACATTTAACCTAGTAACCCGTTCGGATTCTTATTTTCCCACCAACTTAAAAATAAATTACTGGTTATATGCGGAGAAATTTTACAGCCTCGTTTGTAAAACAGTTAACATTTACGATTAAAATCCCACAGCTTGCGGTTTTCTAATCCTAATATAGTAGTACTCTTCCAATTGGAAATGGATAATACAGTTATTCATTATCAGAAAATTAACGATCTCACTCGCAGGACTCGGACCCAAGACCTATCGGTCTCGCGGGCGGAATAATGGATGCACTCTGCTGAGGAGTCACATGCTGGGACGAAACTGCCATCCAGTGCTTCCAGGTTTTCTATGGTGGTCTAGTTTCGATTGACTCATGAATTCAACCATTAAATTACTAAAATCTCCACAAAACCCTCTTCTGATAATATTTTAATTTTGTCTGTAAACTAGCTTTCGAAAAAAATAAGTAGACAGACTGAAGTAACTTATCTGAATCATTATGAAAATCAGAACTGACCACCAAGTCAACATATCAGTTGTGCAACTAAAAGGGTTTTTTGAAGATTGGTTGTATTCGTCATGAATTATTGATCTCGCTATCTCTCAAATTGATCAAGGTTGAAATTATACGATTGGCTCTAATAGTTAATTATTCTTCTCTACGAGACTTGAAGATTCTGGATTCGATCGTTAGTGGGTTTGTAAATGTTTACTACTAAGGAGTCGTATTCTTGGTCGTAATAGTTGCTCAGTATACCCTGTTTTTTGGTGGTATCTCGACCGAGATTAGTCCGTGACGAGCACAACATACAAATATCATCTGTTTGTCAAGTTCCTTACAACTTTTTCAAAATATTATGATCTTTCTTAATAATATTTATAGGGAAATATCTTATGGAGGAAGTGATCCCATTGAAAAACTTTCTATAAAAACAACCAACTCCCTTAAATGTTTCAGTTCGAATTATGAGAAAGATCTCTTGTGCTTCTTCATAGAACTACATCTATAGATTAGGTTGTATCTACTGTAATGCTTCTATGCATTGGAGGGTCTTGTGAAACCTCGACTCCCTGCCAAAGAGACACTTAAGCTGCACAAAACGATCTCTTAATCACCTTATGGAACTGTGAATTCTACACATCAAATCATCAATAGCAATTTGTGATACTTTCAACGACCACCAAATAATTTTAAAAGTGCCAGAATAAATCAAAAAGTTGTTTCCAATCATAAAAAAGCTAAGTAATTGAAAATGTTTATATATTGTAAAACTCTTCAGTTGTCAATATAAAGGAAGGCCTAACTAACTATTCAACTTGAACGGTTTATCCAAACAACCTCAGTTCATTCTATTCACTTCTCGTACCATTAACACTTATAAATTTAATCTGACTCATTAACGCTTAAATATATCATGTTTTTTTTTCACATCTACTTATATACACACAAATGCACAGGGTTATGTCACACACATATACATGCAGAATCACCTCAGTAGAAATGAAGTGACGTTGATATGATCCAACCTATTTCAATTGTACCATATTTTCTGCTTTGTTTCCTTTGTATTATTTAGACTCGTGTTAATTTAGTTTGATAATTTGTTTATTCACTGAAGGAGCGACTTGCAGCAAGGAGAATTTTTTGAACTATGCTCAGTATGTGATTTGTTATAGCTGAGTATTTTTCATATATGTGATTTCATCCTAATTATTAATCAAAGTGTGTGTATAATAAATATATAAATGAGTGTATTTTCGACTAGGGTCGTCGTCGTCGTCGTGTTTTGGGGTTAATAAATCTTCATTTATGGCAGTCTTTGTGTTCTTAATTTCGCGTCGCCCCCAAATGCCCTGGTACAGTCGAGAGTGGGGAGAGTCCGCTCTCCCTCTCGAAATGCTCTCACATGGCCATGCGTATATAGCCTCTGCCAGGGAAGTCCTACTGACTGCCTTCTCGTGGCGGGGGTGTTGTTTACGAAATTGAAAAGACGAAAAGCGAATGCCCGGCACTTCAACCGGATCCCAAATCAATGTTGCACATGGGCTCCAGTATCCTGAATGAACAAATGGCGTATGAACCAATCGTTGGTCACCGGCTACTATGGGACTGCATCTCCTTACGATGCTCCACTGCCTTGTTGGTCAGACGTTCAGGTCGAAGGCTCGGGGTGTGGTCCCTCAAGAAAACCATTTGCTTCGGTTTGGGCACCCATGCAGTATCACAGCCCTCACACAAATCAATTGAGATTCGTGTGGCGCATATGTATTTGGTGCCTCCTTGTACCAATACCTATGTGTTAAAATAAATAAATAAATAATTTCGCGTCGTGGGAATTGCCGAGATCCCTCGTTCCGAGTATAAGTGATAAGCGTTTCCGATACAACAATCAGCGACGACCAGATATAAAAAGTAGCATTAAAAGAGCCAAGACAATAAGCATTCAAACAACAAGATATAACATATTTTCAGAAATTTGATTTTCCATTCATTGAAATATTACAAATATCCACATAGTACGCACAATAGCCTGTGCCCTACTTGTGAAAGGAAAAAAACATGCAATACAGATTCGTACACTCTACTTTGAACAACACATCATTATTCGAGGGCTAGTGATTTTGGTATATATTTCCATAAACCCGTAGTAGATTGAGTAGAATTCAAATCACTTACTGAGTAGTGATTGAATATCGAGATCTTGAAAACAATAAGACACCAGTTTATCTTGGACATGTTTGAGTTCGACTTTATTATTATTATTATTAAAGTTCTGTTTTGACCAATCAATTACTGTTTTCTTATATTTTGTAGGATCTACTTCATTTGTTCGGATTTCCATTTGTAGTTAGTCCAGAAGAAGCAGAAGCTCAATGTGTAGCTTTACAACGTCATGGTCTAGTCGATTTAGTTGCAAGTGATGATTCAGATGTATGGCCATTCGGTGTTAAACTTGTCTGTCGTCATTTGTTTGGTACTGGTGGTGGTGATAACCTAAAAAGAACAACAAATCCTTCCATTTACAAACTTGATGAAGTAAAACGTAAATTAGGTAACTTAATTGCTTTAAAACTGTAATAGTTTACCATTATAAGTAAATGTAAAGTTCAGTCACATTTAGTGTGTGTCAACCATACATTATTATAATAATAAAATATTCGTACTTGTGTACAGCGTCCTATAATTCATATTTAGAGTATATTTTTAATCTGAATTGTGTGTATTCACCCTTTATAACTTAGTGCTTGGTTCTTTTGTAATCATCAAACTGTCTGTTCTATTTTATCAAAAGAAATCAAAAACGAAAGATTGCTTTCTTGGGTTGGATTGCATTGCATCTCGCGTGATCGGTCTGTAATATCAGGAAATATTCGTATTATACACTAATGGATTTCATTTGACTTTATTCTTGACCCTGACTGAAGTTTTCATAAATTGTTTGTTGTATAGCAGATAAACTCGATATTATAATGATTTGTCTTTAAATTTGAATGTAATTGTTAGGAACACCTGTTAACACACATCAGCAACGTCAGTCAGTCAGTCAGCTGCAACGTAGGACCAGGCACGTATATGCATCGGTCCAAGTTGCCATACCGCATTAGCACAACAACATGAACACCGGATTCATAGTAGTCACTTCAAGTGGTAGTAGTATATAGAAGGAAGATTGTGTATAAGGAGATAGAACAGGAAGATAGAATTAGTTCCTAGAAAGAAAGATTTGAAGTGATTTCAATCTCTTAGTTTAAAGGAAGACAGAGAGTGTATACACCGACGCCATTGTGATCGATTCTGAGCCATGTCACCAAGAGTCTCCAACCATTGGTTACGATAGTCACGCGGACCCCAACCAGGCAGTCTGCATCTACCAACATGGCTCAGACCAGAAGTTAGTGACTTCAAGCACTGATGCCACGTTTTGGTTTGGCCGCCCCTAACTTTCTTCCAATCATCCCTAACACCGGTTAGCATTGCGCGTCGTGGTAATCGGTGTTCAGCAACGTATGTCTTTGATGCTCCACCATGTATTCAAAACTGTTGCTTGAGGCAGAAAATTAGAATATTATTAATTTAATTGACTCTGTGGAAAAATATAAGAAGAACTTCTCTTCTCAGTTGTAATCATCATTGAATTTGTGAGTGATCTAGGATGCTGCCCCAGGTGTCCAAATCTAAGCAGTTGGTTTTCTTAAAGTGCCACTCCTCGTGCCTTTGATCTGGACGTTTGATCCAAAATGTAGTTGAGCAAAATCATGAGATAAGGTACCGTGTAAAGCCGGTAACTAAGAATACGTTCGTGTTATGACTTGTGAATCGAATGCTACTTTGTATCTGGTCGTCGCTGATTGTTATGTCGGAATCGCTGACCACTTATGCTCGGAACGAAGGGACTTCCACGATTCCCACGACGCGAAAGTAAGAACACAAGACTGATATAAGCGAAGTTTTATTAGCCCCAAAACACTATGATGACGACGACGACCTTAGTCGAAAATACACTCATTTATATATTGATTATACAACCATTTTGACTAATAATTAGAATGAAATCACATACATGAAAAATACTCAGTTATCACAAATCACATATAGAGCATAGTTCATGTTAATTAAATACAAGAATATCGTATATTATACAGAATAAAATATCATACGAGAAAAGAAAACGAATACTACATTGAGTAATAATTACATTAAATCAAAACAGAAGTAATGTTGAATAAAACTCATAATGAGTAAATCAATCGAATATTGACTTTCTTTCCATCATATCAGTTCGTACGCTATTTATTTCCTCAAGATTCTCGAGCTCATGCCTATCATTGGTTTTAAGACCAATGTTTTACAACTCCCCTAGGTGGATCCTCCGTACCAATCGTATATTACGAAACTAGATTCATCAATCTATTTTTCATCCTACTTACACAGATTTAATTGACGAAATCATACATAAATGAGATGATAGCCAAATATAAATATATTTATGAGTTGATGTCATTATTTTTACTACTTTACTTTACTTACTCGTGTTACTCCCAATGGAGATTACGCCGCACTATTTTTATTACTATCACAATTATGTAACTGTATACCATAGTTAATGTAATCAACATTTACCATAACAATTCGGAATATTTAGGCCTTACTATAGAGAATATTCTCCGTTTGACGCTTCTATGTGGTAGCGATTATACACATGGAATTGATCAAGTTGGTCCAGTTACAGCTATTGAAATACTGAGTGAATTTGATGATGGTGATGATTATTCATTAAATTGTGAAATTAACAACTGGCTTCATGGTGTTGTTAATGAACCTTCCGAAAAATTACTTCATGATATTTTACAACCACTAGAACAATTCACGTAAGTTCCATCTTTTCAAGTTCATATAATAAATAACATCAACTTAGATATGTTATAACTAGAAGGATAAACGAAAGTGGCAAACTGAGCAGTCTAACATTTTGCCATATTGTTACCCTTATTTCGATTGTTATTATGAGCAAGTGAATTGTGTTCACTTTATTCGCTTAATCATAAGTATTCATCTGACCCATGAACTGTCACTATTATATCTAAACGAAGACGAAAAGAATAGGAACTTCCCTGTACTAACTTACGGACTGTTATATATATAATTGACTTATTATTATATATATTCCTTCTATCATAAGTTTTCGACTGACCCACTAACTGTTACAAAATTTACTGTTCTCAATTTATTACCAATCTGTCATTCACAGTCTGTCCTACTCTCAGTCACTTTTTGGGCTTGATCATGCATGGTCGTTATTTCTTATGTTATTGTGTGCTGTGGTTTGGTCTGCTTGTATATAAACGACGTCTATCTGAAATATAAGAACGATCTTGGACTGGTGATCATTAGTCTTGCGTTCTTTCTCCTCGTTTGGGGTTAGTTAGTATTGGACCAAGCGCCAAGTATAGAATATCAGTCTTTCTTGTCCTTGTTGCGTATTGGTTGCTTAAGGTCATTTGTGTGCATTGGTCGACCCTAGGACATAACAACCACTGTATCTTATTCTGTTCTCAAATCGTTGTAATGTAGTCATGCACTTGATATCCTGAATTTTTTACTCTAAATATCCTTTTTAGGCACGTATTGTATTTTCTCATTTATCGCGTATTATTCCATCTCTTTTTATATTATTGTAAACATCCCTGAAAATCTTCAGAAATCAGAATTTTTAGGTGCCTCGGCATTTTGTGATAATAATGACCACAGACAATTTCTTAATATTTAATTCACTAGCATTCATTTGAACAGTGAATTAACAACTAGAAAAAACAAAAGGACAGTAAATGTTCAATTTTTTTCATAAACATAAGAGGATGTCAATACTCATTATTTTTTTTATCCCATCCTTATAGTACTCAAAAGCTGTCACTGAAAAGTTTAATTCACTTAAAAACAGATGCTTTGTTTTTTAATCCTTTATCTTTATGAATAGCTCTCAGTATTTCTTGAGTTTCACAACAATCTCAAATTACCTGTTTATATACTCCTTAAATAACATCTTCAAACCCTAATCTTTCCTATTACTGCTTATACTCTTACCTCCTCTACCACTACGGGATTTGAATCGATAACTGCATCTCTTTGCTAATGTGGTATGACAACTCGAACTGATGTAAGTACGTACAAAGTTCTACGTTGTTACTGACTGACACTGGGAAAAACCAAAGTATCATTACAAGTAAAATCTCATTCATTCTGTATTTTTTTTTATTTATTCTCTGAAGAAGTGACTTACACTAAGCCACGAAACGTCAGAAAATCTAATTTTCTACTCATTGGGATATTACAAATATATTATTTATTTATAACAATCAACCCAATGCTCAATTTATTCGAAATTACCAAATCAAACCTTGGTAATGATACCTACAAACTCATTCTGTATTGTTTGTTTGGATCTTCCCATTGATGTTTAGGATTAAACATCAACTCTGGGATGCATGTACATCTAGCTGATGAGTCCAAAATAGGATGAAATGCGCGTCCTTGATTTTACTGCTAACCAATATCCATCTTTGCTTATAAAATCGCATTGTTCATTTAATAATACCATTTTGAAATTTGATTCTTTAACATTTATAGAATGTGCATAAAACAATATAAATTCATTATCTAATCTATAAAAATGACTATATTGAGTGAAGAGACTCACCAGTTTGTAATTTATAGATTATTAAAATACCATTTTCATTTAGACATTGGTGGCAAACTACTCGTTCACAAAATTCTTCACAATCAATGAAAATACTTAGAATAACTGAATCGAATCCAATTAGACGTCGTTGGATAAATTTGAAACCATATCCAGGTATGTACAAACCGATGTTTATGTATATCTTCCGTGTAAAATTTCGGTGAGACTATAATTTATGGGCGACCTTTGAGTGACACTAATGTGACCAAGAGAATGTCCATGTACTAACTACGATTAAATGAGATTTATAAACCAGTATGAGGAAGCAATATCATAATTTACAGTTGATGGTTAGGAACTAGATTTAGGGCTTTCATCAAGAACTGACATAAGCTAAAACACTTAAACGCTATTTAGCCAAACGGATGAACAAATTTCGCGTCAAACTCCAAGACCTGTTATCATATATCTGATTAGTTCGTCTATAAATTTCTATAAACCATGTTTGATGCTCTTTCATCTATTTGATGTTGATTGATTTCAAATGAAAACTCAGTGTGCTTCTTATGTATATTAAGAATAAATCAAGTTATTTAGTCTTTTTGTCGCCATACATTTCATTTATCTCTTTAAACTATAGTTTCAATGAGATTTTTCTAATTCAGATTTCTCTGATGACCTTTTCTGTCGTCATCTAATTGGTTATTATCGTTTGTAACTTGTTTACTCTGTTATATATGCTCTAAAGTGGTCATTATATATCACTATAAAATCAGAGTTATTTTATTCTTTTTCAATATTTTGACTGCTGTATGAATTAGAAAATTATTCTGGAACATAGGATGTCGTCTATATATCAGTGGTTGTAGATTATTAAAGTTAAAGAGTTGTTGTTCGACAGACGTCTGGTTTATTCGAGTTCCTATTCACTGCGTCACGTTAGAAGCCTCAATTTATTTATTTGAACACAAACATTGGTAAAAGGGGAATGCAAATACGTATGCGCCACACAACAACAATAAGGTCAATAGTAGTTATCATTGATTAGTGTGAGGGCTGTGATGCTACCCGGGGCCACACCCGGATCCTTTGACTTGAAGGTCCAATCCATAAGGCAGTGGAGCAACGTAAGGAGATTGCAGTCCCATAGTAGACCGTGACTAACAATAGGTTCATGTGCATTTTGTTCGCTCAGGATCCTAGAGCCCATGTGCATCATTGGTTTGGAATCAGGGTTAAAACAACGTCAATCAGAGATATCATGGTGGCTGACAATATGCATTGAAAAGACTAAACATTATTCAGATGTCGATTCCTTAACAGCTAACTGGCGATCACTGACTGACAAGGTGCACTGTCTTCAGTTCCTACTAAGTCTAAACATTTATCGTAACTGTGGAGTAATCACATTTCAAGAATCCTGGTTAAATGATTTACAAGATGATTGCTCAGTATCACTACAAGATTTCAATATTTAACGTCAGGATAAGAAAAGAAAAAGGAAACTTGTTGAAATATATTGTGCTGAGAATTCTATATTGTACCAAAAATGTAATATTGAATGAAGCCATTAATAATAATATGTGCTAAGAAACTCATTTCCTGTACCTTTATCATGTCAAACTAGTTATTTAGTGAAATACCTGTCATGAAGTTTCTTGTCTGCTTATTGTACAGAGGTACAATGTCAAAACATTGTTTTCCAAAGAGAGTATGCATCTTAAACGATGCTAACTTCTAACAAATTGGAAGGCGGTGCATTTATCTTTGCTTTACAGAATGAAGCCAACACCATATATTCATAAAACCACAGTTTATATTAATCAATATTTCCTAAGATTAATACCCTGGTTAAAACTTTTACCTGGATCAATTCATATGTGTGAAAAAATTCATTGATACACTAGATCAAGGTTTAGATAAGTTGCATGGGCCTAAGAGACATTGGAGAAAGTATTGTTTCGTAACAACGGTTTCCTGTTATTTATCTCTTTTTTTATCAGGGTTTCCAGATAGCCGTATTGCACGTGCTTACCTGTACCCAAATGTCAAGACCGATTTGCCGCCGTTTAAATGGGAACCACCGAATGTACCGCTTCTTGTCAAATATCCTTTTTTTGAAGAAAAGAAAACGTTACACAAGTAGTTAAGAAAAGAACTAAAAAGTTCAGATGGTATTGTTTTGCTTGTATCTTCCCATTGAGGTTTTTAAGACTGAAATCGATCAGTCTGTTATTGGCATATGTGCGTATGCCTCGATATTGCCTTAATTCACAAGCTTTTATAAGCAAAGATGGATAGTGGCTAGTAGTGGAATCCAGGACGCGCGTTTCGTTCTATTTGGGACTCGTCAGCTGGATGTACTTGCATCTCAGAGTTGATGTTCACCCTGTGACTCGAACCCAGTACCATTCGCTTCAAACGCCGTCGCGTTATTCCACTGCTAGCCACTATCCATCTTTGCTTATAAGAACTAAAAAGTGTTCCAATTTGTTTATATAACAACTATATTAACGGATGACTCTAACATGAGTACATTACGACAATAAACTGTCGTAGTTTTCACTGAGCTGGATGGTTTGGTCGTGGAGCACTCATTATTCTCCTGAACAAAATCAGCGCAAACTTCCGGTATTAGTGATGTGTCCGAATTCCTCCACGTATGACAAGCTGTGAGTCATATGTGGAGGGATTCGAACACCACTTCTACCTGACGTTTGTGCTAATGTTGTTCAAGAGAACAATAAGAGCTCCACGACCAAACCATCCAGCTCAGAGAACGAATCTCCACCTGAGTCACAAATCTTCTGCACCATCTCGAATTGTTGTAGTCTTTAATATTCGAAAATTAACATCGCTAGATGATTTCCTCTAGTACTATCCATTCTTTCATCAATGGTCAAGTCTCTTTCATGAATATAAAATCGTATGTATGAAGTTAAATAAAGGTAGATTTATTACGATAGTGATTAAAAACCTATCCTCTTCATTCAGTGTTAATCACTGATTTTATAGCCTTTAATGTTTATCATTGCTTAGTGTTTTTTGTAAAGCACTGCTTATGAAATTCGCCTTGTTAAATGCAAGTTGTGTATTCCAATTGTAAATAACTAAGTTATAGCTGTAAAACAGATTGTGTGTGTAAATATGCAGTTGTCCTAACAAAATGAAAAAAAAACTCAAAATATAATCGTACAAAGAAAGTTTAATGATAAATATGTTTATCAAGTATCTTGCTGTTGACTTGCAAACTCTATGGATCATTAAAATTGAGTTATAGGCAATGTGAATTAGATCTATTCTTAGTGACATAAGTAATTATTGCAACTAAGAAAATGCTTCTTTTGTAGTCTTGGTATTATACAAATGTGGAGACCACACATATTAATAAATTGCTTAGACAAGCTCAAATTTAGCTGTCAAATCGACCGAGATATTGTAGGTGGAGTTTAGGAACTAGATGTATTCTAATTTGACTGGTGTTGATGGCTTATCGTCCCAGTTTATAAAAGATGAAACTTTTTTGATAACCACAGAGGAAGTGGCTTACACTGAGTCACGAAACTTCAGAAAATTTAATTTTTCTACTCATTGGGATATTACAAATATATTAATTTACTCACACAGAAGAATTGGTGTCTAAAATATTACTCAATAGTCAATCAATACTCAACCAGGGCTTGCGAACAGTAAATCTGGGAAAACCAGACTGGTTCCCGACCTGGACGTGGATGTATCGACCAAATATTGAACCAATATACGTATGTACTAAGTTGTTTATGACAGACTATCTGAAGGAGGATCCAAACTCCTTACTAATTGATTTAATCATTTATGTCTAGATCATCAGGTGGGAACTGCGTCTCCCTAAAAATGTTTGTAGTAAAGGGAAATAACCCAATACTTCTAAGTGGATAAATTGAACAATTTTAATTCCTGATTTCAAACATGTCAATGTTAATTATGAACGAATAGAAGTTTATTACTGTTCTTCCTTAGTTTTTTCTACTACACACATGTGAATACCTTATTGGGATGGAATACTGAAAAAACAGAAGCTATACTGGCTTCTGTACTCAAACATAGACAAAATATGGAGCTTGGGGATCCTAGAAAAATTCTTTCGTCCAAAACACTTATAACGAATTTTTTTCAGATTGAGAATCAAAAGTTTTGCCAAAAATCAGAAATTGCTTGTCATCACGTTGATTCACCAGAGTTGGATGAAGTAAGTTGTATTTTATGCTGGAGAACTATAATTAATTAGAGGATCTGGTAGTTAATATCCAGTATTTTTTAGTCTCTCTCTCTCTATATATATATATATATATATATATATATATATATATAGAGAGAGAGAGAGAGAGAGAGAAAGTTATGCTTGATCGAGATACCTATCTCTTTTAAACATCTCTGGGTGTTTACTCTTTTATCAGTTATTATCACCAGTAAGTCCTAACGCTGCATAACTTGGCGCAACTTATCAGATTCCTAACTAAAGTCAATGTTTGATTAATTTAGAATCGGTGAGAACATAGCTTGGAAACCTTGACTTGATGTTGAATACTTACAGACTAGCTTTATTCAGTTCATTATCCTGAACTTATGTACGGTCCTAACAACAGTCAAGTTAGTGTACCAAATAAACGGAATGAACTGAATAAGTGACAGTCTATTTTGGGATATTACAGTTTTCAGCAAGCAGTGTTCCAGTAAATATTGTTGTAGAACTTTTGTTCTAAAATTCAGCAAAGTTTTTTATCTGACACCCGAAAATCTTCGTGTAGGATCATTAACATCCCTTAAAAAAAGTAAATAAACTTCACTAGGTGTTCTAATTAATAGTTATTTCGGACTTTTCATATTTTAGGTAACGGTACCGAGTAAGCGCGTTCGTCACGCAGCCAGTCGCTTGCGAAATCAAAGAACAACAGATCGATCTTTTAAAGCTCCCAGCACTTCACAGCATACAGCACTAGTGAAAGATGAAAATAACCTACTTTCTGAATTACCTAAACTACGTCAGCCTCGACGGAGGCAATCTGTGAAAAAACCTCCAAAGGAAGCAAAGACTTTACCGGAGAAAAAATGCAAGGAGAAAGCTCAGATAAAACCCCAACGTCGTGTAGTAGAACGTGTATGTTTATCCGAAGAAGATGAAGATTAAAGCATTGTCAATGCTCCTAAACGTTGTACAGACTAGACTTTTTTAATTAAAATTGTTTTGAATCTCCTTTATTTATATTTCAACTCGTTTTTTTTTAATTATTCAATTGTTTCAAAGACAGGAGTGACCTTGTTTTACAGAGAAATGAAAAATACACATTTTTCAACAACGATTCAATAACGTTTATTTAAATGTTATGCATAACTTTTGATAATATTAGATTTAATAACATTTTAAAAATGAAATGACTGGTAGTTTGTGTTTACAAAGAGATTTACATTGTAATTACGTATGATTGAGCATCTGGGTAACATGCATTTATGGTGACACTGTACATAATCTTTAAAGCTATAAGCAGCCCACTTGTTTCCATTATATATTACGTCAATTTATTCACATATAGTACAACTCTGCCTGTGTACAGCTCAACATAAACAACTGTAAAATATGGTTCCAAAGTACTCGGAGTTCTACCAGCTTGTAAAACTTGTATATTCATTAGTGATTCACATAATGCTGGGCGTCCAGCAAGATTTGTATCAAGTAAATCAAAAAGTTCCGGTTTACTGCATCCACCTCTAGACGGACATGTATGAGTTTCTACTATCACAAAATCAGCCTGAAAAAAAATCAGTTGAAAATTTTCAATTAACAGTCAAATAAAACTAAATGTTCTAAGCAATAAAATTCATAACTGTTGTGATTTCCGGTGTTCAGGAGTTGATACTGATACTCACCCTTCTCCAAACATGAGTAAAACCAGTTGATTAAGTGTACAGACTTAATGTGTGAAAGGAAGTTTATTGACTAAACCGAATCGACATCTGTACTGGTGGTGATGGACGAAATTATATTTCGAACGGGGTTTGTCTTACAGCATCAAAAATGTGAAAAGAGACCGAAGTAGGATTTCGTCACAAATGATTAGTATCGTGGACTGCTAAGAAATCCACTCTAACTCTTAAGGTGGATAGATTGAACGGAATTTTCTCTTGAGTGATCTTTTCATAAATGCATTAGACACATTAAGCGAATGGCACTGGGTTCGAGTCCCAGAGTGGACATCAACAGTGGAATACCGGTACGTCCAGCTGACGAGTCACGTATAGGACGAAGTGCCCGTCCTGGATCCTACTGCTAGCCACCATTTATCTGCCTTTAATGCTTGTGATTTACGGCATTACCGAGGCAATCCGCATAGGATACACATGTGCCGATAAGAGACTGATCTATTGCAGTCCTGATTTTTGCGTAGCATATTATGCTATTCAATAATATCCAACAGCTAATTGCATGGTGTTTTATTGTTGGTAGTCTCACATCTAGTCCTTGTAAGTGTCAAACTGTTCATTTTAGTCTGAGACCTGAACAGCATTTATGCACCCCATTCGAACCCCATAAAGTTTTTACTATTGAATATTATATAATAAAAAGTTTCAAAGGCCGATTATCATGGTGTGATTTTTTTCTCTAGTCTCTATTGATCTCATATTTTATTGGAATGGAAGTTTTCCGTTCGACTTATTATATAAAGAGATTACATGTTTTTGACACTGCTCGACATTTGGTTTTACGATTTATAAACTGTTGAATATTGCCTATCATTCCTTCCCGGGTTTTCAAGAAAAGATTTTGCTGTGTTGCGGACAGCGCTAAAGGCATTTAATAAGGTATATGATGTTATAATGAATATGGTTGCGGATAGACACTTAGAATTTTGCAAATTCCTGGCAAGTGTTATTAGATACTAACCACTTCCTTTTATATCTTCTGGTTGAACGAGATGCTGACACACTATAATCCATGCACGCAAGCAAAATTATAAAATTTCTACAACATTGTTAGTATCTAGCGCATATAATATGCGACGAACAGGTTATGAGAGGTGACCATCTAGTCAAGAACTTATATTCTTGGACATCTTGCTAATCTAAAGTTGTATAGATCCTTATTAAAAAAACATTTAATTCCAGGTAATTTACGTATTTCATGTATATGTGTTTGCAATTATCTATTGTCTTTTCTTCATTTTTTCATGAGAGGGACTAGTTGGAATACTTCGTGCTGAAAATTCCATATTGTATTAAACATATAATATTAAATAAAACCATTAGTAATGATAATAATAATCTATTATTTGGAGTATGTGATTATTTCAGAATACGCACTGTGATAGTCATCAATCTCGTATGCAGTAAGCGTTTTGGAATGATAAATATCTTACCTAAGTCAAGGTAGATGATATTAAACAATTTATTCACTAGCAGTATATAGTTTAGTGTTACAGAATACTTTCATGTCCAGGATTAACTAGGAACGATTTTTACTATTTAGAAGCTTGTGGTACGTTGAGAGATTGTGTAATACATTTGATTTCCGCAAGTAAACCTTTACTATATGGTAACTGCTTAAATATTCCTTTCTTTTAAGTATATTACAGTGAAAATTAACTAAGACAAAATTTTCAGTGTGAATGTGGAGAAAAAAACAGGATATATATATATATATATATATATATATATGGATGATAATATTTACCTTTAAAATATGACGATATGTATGCCATACATCATGAACAGGTTTACGACTATAAATCCCATAAGCTAAAATAGTTCTATAACGAAGTATTGTATTTTCATAATGTGGATGATTTGTAAAAGCAAATCCAGACTCATTCAATGAAACAATTTGAGTAGATGGATAAGGAGCAGAGGCTGGTAATGTTAAACGTAGATTGCCCAACAAAGACATTGGTCCAGATATAATCCATGATAAGGATGATGACGATGAAGCGGAATCTTCACGTTTTTGCGGTAAACTTCGGAACCAATCAATTAATATTTCACTTTCATACGCACTGAATGAACCTTGTATACTCCATTCAGACTAACCAGGATTGAAATAAAAAATTATGTAAGAATGCAATATTTTTGTCGAACAATTGGAATATTTATCAATATCATGAAATTGAAAAATCAATTTAACAGAAATAACAAAAAAATAAGAAAACTTAGTGTTTGAGAAAGATAACATCGGTTTCAAAATGATCAAAAATATTTGTAGCTCAGAATGACAATTATAAGAATATTGTTCTCTTTGAGCTGAACAGTTTAGTTGTGCAGCTTTTGATTTCTAGACATCATCAAGATACATTTGGAAAAAAGTGAGCTACTAGGGATTTTTCACAATTAACTAATAGCTTGTCCTGTTGATCAGAGATTTAGTTGGCTATTAGACATTTTCTCTCAAAACTATGTCAGTACACTTTCCTCTTGAAATAAAATGAGGCTTATAAATTGGTTCATTTGTTAAAACATAACCTATTAATACTTATATAATCAAATAAAAGTGTGATTAATTTTAATCACGAAGAAAAACAGGATAAGATTCTTTCTGTGAACATTTGCTAGAAATTGGGCGCCGAGTATACAGAAGACATTAAATGTAGAACTTCTATTAGAATAATCTTAGAGATTAGAATTTAAATAATCCCGTTTTGTTCATCAATCTGGTTTGAACTTTTTCAGATTATATAATGTTTATATTTAATGATAAGCTTCTTGTTCACACGACACACTTTAAGTAAATTCGTAAGTAAAGTACAAAATATGAATCATAAAAATGAATATGCTTATTTAGTTTTTGAATTATTTTGTATGAAGTTTCGTCTTTTGGACTGGATGGCTTAATCGTAAAACTTTAATTATTCTTTTGAACAATAACATCAGCTCAAACTTCAGATAGAAGTGAGGTAGTCGGATTTCTCCACAAAAGACCGGCAGCTCGTCTTGTCAACCTTTAATCCGTTGTTGTCTGCATGTTTATTTTACTTGTCTCTCTCCTTTGACCCAATTCTTGATTCTGTAGTTGTTCACGATTTTTCTGATTGGTTGACATACTGAGTCGGTTTCGATGTGCTTATAGATTGATTGATCTGAGCGCTAAGCTTCTAAAAATTTTCTAATATTCTTTGTATTCCAAGATTTTAACATTTTCCCAATACAATATGTGCCTACAATTGTGTACGTGTATTGATTTAAGCAAAGATACATAATAGCATAGGTGCTCGTGCAAACGACGAGGAAGAGCACTTCCACTTTGTTTGATGGAGTGCTTCTTACAGTTGGAACAGTTTATTTTGTAGATGTTTGATTTTTTTCTTTTTTGCCATATCCAAAATTAAGTGATCATTACCAGTTAACAAATGGTGTATTAAAATCTATCAATTATATTGTTTCTAGCTCCAACTTCCAGTTTTGTAGTAAATTGTTACCAAAGAATATTCAGATTGACTAACTATACCAGCTGGTAATAGCCGTGTAAGTGAAATCTATCGTATCAGCCACTACTATCAAACTTTGTATCAGGATAAACGTTAATTATAAACGACGAGAAAAAACGTAATCAAAAAATTACTGAACCATGAATCCCATGATTTTTTATGCTTAATAGTTCAACAACCCAATTAGATGAAAATCAACAAAATCACATACAGAAATAATTTGGTCATATATAGCAATAATTTGGCAAATATCAGATGATAATAAGTAATTAGAATGTCTATTAATAATCAGAGGTTCAAGTGATCACTAAAACATTTGTTCATAACGAAAGCCATGAATAACACCAAGAGATTTCAACAAACTAATTTCTGTACTTGTGAATATAGCTAGACTAATAATGGAGGTTAAGCAGACGATAATGTAGAGCATCAAACAATATTCCATGGAGTTATTGATTGTTTAACTGAATTATGTGGGAAGGTTCAAAGATCTTGACCGGAGTTTGTCCGTAAGATTATTACGACTAATGATTGACGTTGGGTGATATTACTACAAGACGGTCATAGTGGACCACATTCATTTATCTTTTGTCGCCCCCTAGATCTTGAGTTCCAATGTTGTTTCACACTATTTATTCAACACATTCATTTTTCAGCCATATTCTAGAGGTCTGATGATTTACTTATCACAGGGCATTACTTCGAATATTTTGCTATAGATCATCATGTTGTACTGATCTAGTTTGATAACTTCTCTGGGTCCATATTAATACCAGCTCTTACTTTATTTTTATTACATGATATCAAAAACCATATGGTTAAAAAAAGCTTACGACGTTAACATAATGTAATAGCAGTGAAACTCAAAAATCGACAGTAAAAGTTACAACTAACTTTTAAATTCTCCAAACCACGTCTAGCCATAAACGCTATGAACAACACTAGTATTGTTGTATAAATAACATGATGAAACCAAAATAGACGTTTTGTCTTTTTTTCAGGTTCACAGGCGCTATTCAATGATGTACGAAATATACGGCCACTAATGCTTTTCAATGCATGAAACATTTCAAACCATCGTGTAGGCTGAGCCAATATAGCGAGTGATAAACACATTTGAGGTGTCCAGAACAGTTTGAGTCTCATAATTAACATAGCCATAATCGTAAAAATCGCCAACTACATAGCCGTAGATTCATGCAATGTTTAAAAAAAATAATTTAAGATTAAGAATTAAAGTTCTATTTCAAATAAGTTTTATGACACGATATACAGCTTAGGTAAATGGTTACTATGATAAAAGTTTGCAGAACCATAGACAAGATAATAATATACGTTTAGAAATTGTACCAAGACTAGTTTAGTTTCTGTCCCAGACATCAGAAATTAGAAAGGAATATATGCTGGACGGACAAATGACAATCATATTATGTGGTTTTGATTATGAAGTTAACTGGAAAATGTAAATTCCACAAGGCCGAAAACTTCAGTTCCACACAATGTTCAGAAAGTTTTAGAAAGGGGGAGATTTGAGAAGCTTCTCGGTAACACTGATATATAGCTACGGAATTCAGAAAGTGCGTTCCTTCCTGTTTGATACCTGTCAACTGAATAAACCTACATTCCAGTGTGGTGTTGGCACTGCCACCCAATACCCCTCGCACCTAAACCCCGATACGTTATCTGCTGGAACTATCGAGACTAGGTAACAATTAAGTTGTCTAACAAGAATGACATCTGCATCAATATTAGTAAGGATTTTAATTATTCCGTTGTTGGTATTCAGGATTAAATTTTTATCAGAATTTTTTTACAAGCATTCATCCTGTGAGAATCGCCTCGATAAACTCATTTTCATCACACGTTTTAGAGAACAGCTGGAATAGGGGACTAGCAGTGGGCTACATATGTATATTACGTACTTTATTTCTAAGTTACTGTAGAGAAGAGAGTAGTGTAGTTGGAACTTTGGGAACTGTTTTATAGACTAATATTGCTTATATTTTTACCACTCAATTTTTAGATCATTAGACTGCTATACTCCTTGCAATGCAAGCTTCAAGTGAACCTATCAACCACTGTTATACATTTTATTATTCCTTAATTATTGTTAAGTAACTATGCATTGTTTTATCTGTTTTGTCCCACATATAGAATGACTGTATGTAAAATATGAAATCATATTCAAGGTATATAGTGATCTGACCAATATATATAATGGGGGCCTGGAATTTAGTAATAGAAGCTTTCCTATTATGTTCTTCTGTTCATACTTAAAACTGGGAATAGAAAATATGTGTATCGCCGGAACAATAGGAGTTCATATTAAGAGCCAATAATTTGTGCAGTGATTACCTTTTTAGTAAGAATGAATTCTGATAATCATGCCATCTCCAATTCGAACCTGTCTAAAGGAAGATAATATTTACTTCTTAGCATGCTATATATTTAGATGGAAAATTGTGTTCACATTATAATGAGACGAGTATTGGATAAGTTGGGACTTTCAGGACCATTTTTGGATCATTATTATTTATATGTAATCATTAGACAACTGTATTTCTATGTTCTTCTTATTCTAAGCTCTCAATAGGCATATCAACTGCACTAACATGTTTTGCTATTCATAAATTATTACCAGTTAATTATGCACTATTTGCTTAGTTCGCTGTTACTTGAGAAACCACTATACTTGTTACTCATGAAAATATCATTACTTCTACATAAATGTAAGGCATTAATGGCAGTTCAGACATTTAGTAATGAAAATACATTGCACACAAATAAATAATTAACATTAAAGGAATTAACATTGCACATAAGTCTTTTTGAAACCAATAATATAATAAAAGTCCATAATTATAGCGAATTTCTCATGTTGAAAGATCAGTTGATAGAAAATTACAATTCTGAACGTTTATTCTACTGATTGAATGCTACAACTCATCTTTTATGCTGATCTTAAAAGACAGAAAAGACAAATGCAATAGATTGTTTATCAAAGTTGAATAATCGTTAACAGTGGAATATGGGATGTATATCTAGTCCCATTTGGGATTGATTCGTCAGTTGAATATGTTCGAGAAAATGCAAACCATAACAAATAAAATAATTGTAGCACACGTAACATCTTTTCTGAATCGAATTTTGTACTTAACATCAATTATTACATGATTATCTTGAAATAATCCATCAAATAAGTATAAAATCACAAGAAAAAAGTGAAGATATACACATTCTCACACCAACTCACTTACTTGAATGATAACTAATAGTGAAATAAAATCTCTCAATATTTGAAATGAATATTCACAGCTTGACGAATTATCATTGTTAAACAACTGGTTATTTACAGTTACTGAAAGATGATGGTGACGATGAGAACTGAACAAGTTCTTGAATAATTTAAAAGAAACGATGAAGCAGACTAGAATGGAACCGTATATAAGACCAGTTTCAAGAGGTTGTTTTAAAGTGGCCCACTGGTAGATGAAAAATTAACAGAATAAATTGGTGTGATTGAAGAAAGGAAAATCAAGACAATAGTATGAAAAATATATGTTAAGCTCATTAACATTCTATCTTTACCCTATTCTTATTCAAATCTATATAATACCCTATACTACTTAACAACGTTCAGTAGCTAATGTCATTTCTAAGAATTTTAGAGCATCTAGTGTGTAGCCTATGTATCTGTTGTATAATATTCTTCAGATTTTACATAAACTAGTAACATCCATTATATTTGTTACTGTGATTACAATCGCTCAATACTCGCATAAGTTACTCTCAGTCTACATTTACTACTTAAATCTTTGTTAAAATGCAATAGCTTTCATATTTTTGTGCTTTGAGTTCCCGATTGTTGATGAAAGCCAGCGTCGAATTTAGACACGGCTAATGAGTGTCAGTTACGCAATTGTATACTGTAATTTGTCTTTACATATTTGTTGCAGAAAGTATTTTGCATTGAAGCTTTTATTCTCGCGTTATATCACAGCCGTACAGATGTTGTAATATCTGAACTGAGTAGTTTAATGTTGATGATGATGTACAGAATGCTAATATAGTTTAAATCATAAAACGCACGTATCAGGAAATACATCCATCTGAGTTACACACTTTCGCTTTCATTTCAAATCTAGGCTGAACAGTTCAATAACTGTTTTGAAAATAGCAAGCTATTCTGTTTACATTTTAAATGAAAGTGTACATATTTTGCGACAAAATACATTTTATAGAAAATCACAAGTGTTGTATCCCATTTAGAAAAATATATTCATTCATGAACCAATGTGTATGTGATAGAAAGGAGAAAAAAGAGGGATTATATTACTTACATTGATAAAATCAAACTCTGGTGCACATATATACAACATTGTATGAAATGTTTTATAAGTTGTAATACCAAATAATATGGTTAATTTATGCTTCAATAAATCCCATATATGGCCACCGTCATTGTTATTATTATTATTTCTGTTTAAATCATAATTATTATTGAAAGCGTATTTTGAGAAAACTGAGAACAGTAAACTTAATCCGATTGTACATAGACAAACAATTAATAAAGGTAAGCATAGAAAACGTATAAATGTAATATTCATCATTGATGATCGAGTAGATACTTCTTTCTTTTTAATTGTCATTGGATTATAGGCTAAGAAAGGAAATGGAACAAAGGAAAGTTTCCATTAAATATAAAACTAATGGCAAGCATCATTATTTCGTTTTAATTTATGTTTACCGGGTCTTACTGAATCTTCTTCTCGTTATTCGTATTAAAGACTGTAATTGATCGGTTGCTTTCTTGGTATATATACATCCTCTGCAGAATGCTTTGATATTACCATTAAGTCATAAGCATTTAAAGCAGAGTTGGAGAGTAGTTGATAGTTGGATTTAGAACGCATGCTTCGTCCTTCTAGAGACTCATCAACTGGATACCCCGATATAGACATCAACACTGAGGGTAGCCAGATGTGAACTTGAAATAAACTAACGAAATACTACTAATTCCAACAAGTTTACAACTTCGAAAAAACAAAAGCAAGAACTCAAATTCCAAGTAATCAGTAAGGAATTTTTTTACGTCCTAACGAAGAATAAATGAGTGACAACTTCCATGAATTATTTATTATATATATTAAGTGACTAGGTTATGTATATTTATACTCCTTTTACCATAAGTTTTCACTTGACCAATTGACTGCTGTTATACGATTTACTGTTCATAATTTATTTCCAGTCTATTAGTTACAGCCTCCTACACTCACAGACAATTTTGGCCTGATCTTGTATAACTGCTATTTTTTATTTAATGGTGTGATGTGGTCTGGTATGCCTGTATATAAACTACATGTCTGAAATATATTATTCATACAGTAGGGGCGATACTGTGTTCTGAACTGAGCGGACAGAGCTAGACGAGAAGGTACTGTATCAGGAATCAATAAGGACTTATGGTTGACTCAAGGCTGCTAGTGTCGGCTGACGTGTCATTGGTTTAGCACAAGACAGTGTCATAGAAGTCGGTATTCAGACTGGAGTTTTCGTCACGTGGTATTTGACGGGCATAATAATGCTGATAGTGTGGATTACATTGACTGATAGAGTGAATTATTATTTATTTGAATAGAATACTCCTACTTTTACAATAATTATTCTCATTGGTTTAATGTAGGTGTGACTACTTCAATACGAGACTGTTAATTGGAATCCATCAACATAAAACGCTCAGAAAGAGTTTAAGGAAGCTATTTAGCTAACTAAAATGATTATACTGCATTTTATACTGTTTATTAATACTCAAGCTCTATCTTTGTAATCTCAGATCTGACGTTGAAATACTACTACATTTAAGCTTTAACAAATAAACTAATAGAAATAACATTAGCAAACAAATAATTCCCGCCACATTTTTGATGGTACGAATAATTTGTTCAATCGCTTTAAACAAACGAACAAAAAAAAGAACAAATCACTTACTATTTAATAGTTGTTGAAGTATATATACACTTAATAAACTACTTAGTAGAATAAACATATAACCAGATTGTAGAAGTAAACGATTGCCAAATTGTAATATAAATGATAAATTGAATACAATTAAATGAATCCATATTATTTGTTTCATTTTGAATAAAAGGCTTAGAATAACTGATTTTTGTTGGTTTGAACTAAGAGAATAAGGGGTATTTGATGATAGTGATAAACAAAAGGCACAAATAATCGATATTATTTGAGTAAGTAAAGCGAATTGGGAAAATTGCCATGAAATTTGACAACTCAATAGCAGTATACAGTATATTGGTAAACAAATGAAACTTTTCCCTCGATATGATCGTAACTAAAAGTAGGAAAAAAGAATCATAGAGTTGTTTAGGACAATATAAGTGCATTGAATAATTTAGGTAGTTCTATTTATAGTCAGAGTGAACGAGTATATATCTTTTTTTAAGCGATAAACACTAACTTGCATAGAATTTCATATATATACAGAATGAAGAACAAGTAGAACGACTGAGTAGTTAAGAAATTATCCCTAGAATGTATGTACTATCAAACGGACATTAGTGTCAAAGGATGTACTACTGCTTCGAATAATTTACGAGACTTGTCATCTGCTAGTCAACTTCCTTACTGTCAATGTATCTGTCATCTTTACCAGATAGGATTGTTTTTTCGTAAGCTTAGATTTACAATGAGTTCGATACTTTTGACGACAAACAGTAGTCTCCGAAGCTACAGCGCAGGTGCAATTATATCTCATATGTTTTCACAGAAAGAGGAATACAATCAAAGAGTAAAGTAGGCAATAGACTTGACTTTTTCTATTCAGCGATTCCATAAGCTCATTTATGAACAGAAATTCGTATGGCTGACAGATCATTAAGTGTAGCTTATTGTGTTCAAATTCATGAACAGTATACCAGTAAACCACTTGGAAGGATCAACATTTATTCTATTTGACTGTGATCCCAAGATTCAGCACCGATACAATGAAGATTTCACCCACGAAGATGAGGCGTCAAGACTAAATGAACGCTACTGAAAAAAAGTTATCCCCAGGTTATTTTTAAATCGAAATCCGATTTGTACCAGTAATATTTGAGAATATCAACAGAGCAGCGACTTAATAATTCAGAAAGTGATATGCTTTTTCACTGGGAAATGAATAAAACGTTCAGATAGTGAACTGCGACAAGTTTTCCATCGACGAGACTAACTCTGTATTTTAAATAATTGCCAAATCTTTGAACAATGGATTGCAATACATTAATATTTTTCGTCAGTAGTATATTGGGCAGTCTGGTATTTATAGGTATTCATACCAAGGTTGGGCTTGATAGTTTCAAATAAATTGAACATTGGGTAGAGTTAATAGTAAATTTTTTTTTCGTTATATCACAATCAGTAGAAAAATTGTATTTCTGACGCTTCTTAACTCAATGTAAGCTACTACCCTGAAGAAGCCACGAAACGTCAGAAATACAAGTCTGGTATTTATCGAATAAAATGTATTATCTAAAATTTTGTTTATTGGTCAGAAATGGACGGGCAAATAGCAGATTTTGTTCACTATTTACTCATACAGTAAGTAAGGTACCAAAAAGGTAAGCATATGGTCTTAGAAAGGAGTACCAGAAGCCTTTAGTCTACCGAGTAAATAGAACGAAGGAAAACAACGAACATGAATATCTGTCTTAACCTGCCGTAATTCCGCACGCTAGGCGTCTACGAGCCAGGATATGACATATGTACATTAATTTGTAGCGCATATGCTATTCAATGTTTAATATTCATCATTTTGTGTTCACTAATTGAATGAACGCTGCGTGTAAGCGCAGAATTTTCATTGGGAATTACATTTCGGGCTTAAACTTCCAGAGTGTTTTTACTTTTTCATCCGGTAAGTTGGGATGCGTAACAGTAACGCATTAATGAAAGACATATATAGATGGCTTTAGATTATTTAAATGAAGTCCCTAGTGCAAATTACCATCTTACATGCAGCACTGACACACTAAACGAACGATAAAATGCTAAATGTTGCTCTTTTTATGGAACACTGAAGAAAGATGGTTATCCCAACTTATGGTAACCGTATGGTTTTAAGTGTATGCACCAGTTTTATTACTCTTATTACGAAATTAAACTAATTTTTTGTGAGTTTTTAACACTTATAATAATGTAAAATATTAAGATTTTTACCATTTTGAGTAATGATAAGTTGGTTTAATTCTGCTCCCAATACTATTAGGACTAATAGTCAGGTCTAAAATGGTTGGAGAATAAGTGGCCTATAGGCTGATTTCCTCTAACCATCTACTATATTTTGTCATACTTTTTGTTCATATTTCTTATATAAGCACATTACTTTATTACATGAACAATCTATTCATCTGGCTATTGGTTTTTGTAATATCTTGAGGACCACTGACCATTAGTACCACGTCCCAAGTCACCACTTAGGGTCTTAATTCTAATTTTATCCTTTTCGCGTCTCTATATAGTTATTGAATTTTATTTAAAATAAACATTTTCTTGTGATCTTGCCTCTAGCAGTGTGCAACTGACCGTTAGACTTCCATCCACTAATTAACAAGCTCAACACCACTCCGCCTACTTTAGTTTAGGCAAACAGGTGAGTAACATTATCCCTCCCAGTTAGAGTGTGATTCATATTCAAGTGCCTAGAATATAAGTTAATTAAGTGACCGGTAGATGTTTCATGATTTAAAGTTTTGAAATTCTTACTATTTGTTTCGATACTTCATATCATACTTATGAACATACCTTATCTAATAATTTCAGATCTTACGTATTAATTAATTGTTAAGTTGTACGGGTTCATTTATTTTAAGGAAACCACACTAAATGATGATTCATCTGCGGAGAATTAAAAAAAAATAGGCATTGTAACTACATAAATACATATTAAAAATATAAGGAAAACCAAGTCTATTTACCATTTGATTTGATCCAAGATAACCTAATAAAAAAGACTGTTGAAGTATAAAGAATGGATAAGCAAAGCTTTCTCTCAATGGTGGAGTCCATTGAACACGTGTAGCTTCTCTGTGATTAGAGAAATATGCTAAAATTGGAAGAAATCCACCGATAAGATGTAGTATATGATCCATTTTAGATTGATTTGAACTCCCAATTTTAGCAACAAACCAACCAGAGTAAGTTAAACCGAAAAGTACCAGACCTGACAAAATGAATACTGAATTTACATAAAAATATGGAGGTTCGCCAGATCCATCACAACTTATTATCGAGTTACTATTGATCTTCAATTGATTCGACTGTATTGCATCTAGCCTTAACAATAAAAACAAGAAAAGGAGATACTGTAATATCGAATGTTTTGTTACATGAAATTTGGAGGGGGGCAATGCAAAAATGCCTATAAAGACAGGAAAACTATATTTATACCAACTATTATAATATATAGGCATGAAACCACAGCTATGCATTAGTAATATTTACATTTAACCTATATTCTTCCATATTTAAACTAACAAAACAACTTTACGATTGAGATCATGAACCGATTGATGTTAAACCACCATTGAAAACCTGGAAGCACTGAACGGCCGTTTCGTCCTACCGTGGGACTCCTCAGCAGTGCGCATCCACGACCCCGCTCGCGGGATTAGAACCCAGAGCCTTCAGTCTTGCGCGCGAACGCTTAACCTACTCGACCACTGAGCCGGCATCCAACGGTGTTAGTGTCTAACCTCAACCAAACCACGAAGTTGCGCGACCATCTTGCATTGTACTGAGGTAGACACCTGTTTCTACTCGACACGGATTAGCTCCACTGGTCACGACTTCTCACCAGAACTCCGAGAATTTTCTCACGAAGCTAGTCACTAGTGAGCACATTGTAATTATCAATTTAGGTGTTGTAGTTTAACCAATCGACAGGTATTCTTTGCTAAATAGTACAGAAAAACTGTCATCTATAGATTAGTCGGAACCGCATCAATTATTCACTCAAATATGACCCGTATCCCAATAACCAAATGTTAAGACCAAACATAATCAATTATCTTTTATCTTCCAAGTGTTAGAGGGGCGAAAAATCGGATCTAGAACCTTCAGTCACGCGCGAAAACGCTTAGTACCTAGACCACTGAACCGACATCCAACGATGTCAATGTCTAATTCCTGAGGATTACCATACGAGAAGGAAAAGGCTATCCAGTGCTTCCAGGTTTTTAATGGTGGTATAACTTATATCGAATTGTAATTTCAACGAAATAGTCTTTTTTCATCACAGTTGGTGTACCACCATATGTAACCTTGACTAAACATACACATACTCACTACCAGTCAAAACCTTTCTCTCTCTCTAAAACACTTATTGTGAAGCATTATTTTAAAAGTGATGACTTTATTTCATTCAGTAAAAAAGGATCATGTAGGTGTAAACTGAATATACACAGAATCAAAATAATAGCAGTCAGGATCAATTTCTCTTTATTTTATTGCAAAATAACAACTTCAAAGGTTTATTGTGGTTGTAATAGGTTAATAGATGCCGTTTTCTTGAGTATATTTTCCAAGCATCTGCCCTTTCAAGTAGAAGTGAAGTATTCGAACTTCTTCATATGCAACTAACGGGTTCTCCTGTCGATCATGATATTAGTTGGTTATTGCCAATAGTAAGGTGGTTTCCCAGATCTTTATTCCTAGCAATTATATATCTCATACACACCTGAAAATCAGGGACCTATACATTCCGAAGCACGTAAATAAGAGTGGGTGTTACTCTCGTGACAGCTTTTTGTTGAAATATATATTAGATTTACACCCGAAAGGCACAAGTCAAACCGACCTATACCTCTCATGGCACACAAATATACATAAATGCTGAGCACCCATGCGTCCGTCGAGTGTTAAACATTGACTAATACGAAAATCACAACAGAGTAATCAATAAGGCGGATCCCCATCAATCGCTCGTGTTGATTCGTTAGGCACAACCTCACTATTACCCAAGCACCACGAAAATGTATGTGTTGGATTTCGCTCGGGAATTACGTAGTAAGATTATTGTTACTAGTTACGAGTAAAATGAGTTAATAGCTCTTAATTTTATATAGAAAACATAATACAATGTCAAGAATGCCATGACAACAGAGGTTTTGCAACTGATTAATATCATATTGACCACAGATTGTAATGTTACTAATGAGTATGAACGATTCAACAGTTTGGTAATAACAATTCGAAAAACTCGTACCACTGCCAAAAAATTTTTTAAATGAGTACTGATCTATGTGAATTTTTCAATTCATTGATCAAACTCTAATACAACTTCATTACTGTAGTTTTTAACGCATGAACTTAACAAAGGCAACAAACTAAAAACTCATCCTTGGCAAGACATGTAAACATATTTTCCATCATGTCTTCTAGCACTTTGTACAAGTTTAGAGACTGACATCATTTATGGTTGACTGAACCAGTATGAATTAAATTTTCCTCATCTCAATAGTATCACGCTGAAAGTTGGGGCAGTAAAGAGTTGCCAACTTATGTGGATTTCAAATGTAGTATAAAAAATAACAAATTTCCTCCTCTGAGAGAATACGGAATTATTAAAGTGAAATATATATCTAACGGTCAATGGATGTTTGCTTTTAATGTAACAACTCATATTAATGATATATTGGCCAAATTTAAGAAATGGGTCACATTACGCAGTTACTGTTGACAGTCGACATATCTTATTGAGTGGATTAATTGCACAGATGTCATATTTCCAAAAACAAACGAATTCTTGTATTGTATTGGGGTTTGTGATTGGGCTGTTATTATAGAAAGAGCAATACATTCTAATTCGATTATTGATTCATTCGTTCAATGCCTATAGGACTGATGACCTCCTATTTTGCCAACAACTCAGTGACTAATGAAGAACAACAGATACCTCAACTTCTGCCGGCCCTCTAGCTACTTAAACACCAGGATCTAACCGAATGATGAACTTAACAAGCAGATAAGGTCTTTGCTGTGTAGCCGTTCAGCCAAATGTGTCAACTTATGCAATGATATGGAATGATTTCCTGATCGCATGACAATGTAAGTAAGAAATGACAATATCCACACAACTAAGTGACAGATCCGTGATTAATTAACAATAACGTGAAACATACAATAATAATCTTTGCTCCAAATGAAAGATTGCACTTAGGTAAATATAAGTATGCAATAATATAAATCTCTACGAATTATACAATAGAAAAATATGAACAATAATTCTTCATAAGATATTTTCACAAGTTACATTTGTCTCAATATTTATCCTATTATAAAAGTAAATTAATATATTTTTGGTCATTCTAGATAAAAATGATTCTGAATTAAATCAACTTGATGATATTAATTTCAAATTGTACAAAAGCTTAATATTACACAACCATTTGGTAATTTTTTATTTTAGATTTCACCTTTAATTTCAGCAACAGTAAATATATACTTTTAGAATTAAAACCTCATTGTCTGAACATAATAATAATAATAATAATAATAATAATAATATCGCATGCATCAAAACTACATGTACCCACTTTCTAAGTTGTGATAAATTTGCCATTATATTTGGATTTATAGCGATCGCGATTGGATTAGTCGGTGGATCTCTTTTAACTTGAAAACAGTAATGTTTGATCAAATCGAATGTGTGTAAGAATCTGTAAGCACCAGCTAGCAACAATTCAGGATACAGATTAAATCGTTCAATAGCATTAAGATTTGCACATTGATTATTCTTTGGAGTATCTATCATTAAGTGTGAAAAATGAAAGTAATTGAAATTACCTGTATCATTTACTAGGCTTAAGCAAGGCGGATATTCAGTCCTAGTATCAGTAAGCAATGAGTTGAATCCTTCCACAAAAGTTGGTGCTAAAACGATCTAAACAAAAGGTTGTTTGAAAAATTAAACTAGTCAAGAAGTAATTATAATTTGTATGTGAAATAACATCAAAACTCCGTACTCATGAGTTTATGACATGTATTGTTTTTATATAAAGTGACTTTTATATATTAAACTGATTTAAACAATTCAAATTCCAAACCGGTGTAAATTAAAGAATTACTTAAAGCCCAAATGAACTGCTTCATTCTCGTTTAGAACTTACTAACAGTATGATTCCATGATCACATACAAGATCGAACCCACAACACTTCGATCTTTTTGAGTTAGAATCCAAAAGAGCATATAGTTGCGATCCAATGGTCCATACATTAAAAGTATCACATCGTAAACAGACAGGTGACAAAAATCCTGTAAAACAGACGGGACTTCCATTCTTTACAGGTGAACTATCCAATGTTTTCGTAACTCGTTAATCTATCACATGGATACAAAATATATAGGGCCCAGGTGACCGATTGTAAGAGAACAATGAAACCATATAAGTACACCGCAAAATAAGGAATAAAAACATGACTATTCAAATATATACTTTAATAACGTTTAAGTAATCAAACAAAGAACTTTACTTGTTTAAAGTAGGAGTAGTAAAATCCCATTTCAGTCCTAAATGTCAGCTCACGCTCCAAATTGGATAAATGTGAGAAAAACAGGTCATTTTCATGTAAATTTGAAACATGAAAACAATGCAAATAACCAGCTGTTATTGCCATAAGAAATAGAATAATATGAAGAGTAACATTTGTCCACATAACATTTTTTTCACTTGTCTTTGTTTTCAGCTTTCTGACTGAAACATTTTTATGGATAGCTTGACGACCAGATTTATTGGTATTCTCTTCAAAATTCATTGTTTGAGTGACTAAAAAATCAATTCAGGAGTAAGACATCTATAGATGGATAATTATTAAAGCCGGTAAGCACAAGTCTTAAGAGTGCATTACAGTAAAAAACGTAAAACGTCCTCATAAGATCCGTTATGAATAAGCCTTAAATGTTGGTAATGAGCACGCTTTCATCGTTAAAATGGTGAGTAGAATGTTGATTAGTCGAAGATGTGTAGTGATACAACGTGATGAACCAATCGCTGATCACGAAACCGAATTACTGATCTAAGCCGTAAACAAAATGTCGGTTCACAACACGGCTGACCATCACAATAGGCTTTTCTTGAGGCAAAAATAACACCTTATATACACGCCAAACAAAAAGTCAAACATGAATACACATCATCTAATACAGGAGATTGTAGAATCCGAATTTTATGGGTCAATGACGATATCACCTAAGCAGTACTGTTCATTCTTAGACGTCACATCTAAATTATTTGAAATTCACATTGATACAGTCGTTCCTTAAGTTATTAGATGTCGTAATTCTTCGCAGTTCAACGTAAAAAACTACACTTTAAAAATACATGTACCAGTCTCAATGAAAATGATGTGTCTATCCATACACGACAACTTGATAAAAATAACCAGGATGAATACACACAGTATTTTAATTTTACATTACCAAGTAAGATTAACAACAGTGAATATTACACACTAAAATTCCTGGAATATATGCTAAATAGGTCACAATTAGTGAAGTTAAATAAACTAAGAACCAAAAAACCAAATTAATTGGAAGATGCAACTCCAAAAAGCAGATTTTTGGCATGTTTTAAGAAGAGAAAAACACCATAGGAAGCTACTCGCAGCTGACAACGAAAACTATATTTAAATCCTTCCCACGCAAACAAAAAAGAGAAACAATACTTAGGTAAAAATGCTAGAGAAAGTCCTCAAGAAAATTACGTGTAAATATAGCCGACACGTACCGAAGGAAATGATGCGAACCTTTTAAACTTTACAACTTCAGTAGCTGATCAGCTACTGAAGTTGTTTACCATCCGCAAGAAATGTCCTTAGCCTAAAGACACACCAAAAATTTTGCTTCGCGAACAATTTTTTTCCAGTGTTTCTTTTAAGTGTTCGCTTTTATTTTCCCTTTATGTTCTGTTAGAATGTATATGGGTTTCTATAATTATAGTTAGGTATGAATGCCCAACTATACGATTGAAACCAGAATTATGCAATGGAATAATTTAGAAACATTGAGGTGTGGAGAATGAATGCTAGTTTAACCAATATTCCATTACATGAGCTCAAGAAAACTTTAAAACAGACTACCTGAGCAACTGGAAATACATTTTCGCGGCGCATCGCATGCTTACACATATTCCGCTGTTTTGTATCCAATCCGATACACAATATCCTTTTGACAAGCCTGTACAAACCGAATGATTCTTTTACAATCGCTTTTTGTTGTTCCTGCTCAATTTCAGGTTTTCGATGATAATCCATCACTGGTAGTCGAGCCACCTTGTTGCACTGATCCATTTAGTCTTTTCGGTAACTGTTTCCTCATTTTTATATTATGTAACCTGAATAGGTAAGTTTGTCTCAGAGAAATTGATTTTCTGAGTATGAGAATCTATCATATTACCAGGCAGTTAGTTGTTAGGTCGGTTTCAACATAGAAAATCATATAGAAGAAATTGGAATTCAGATGAATGACTGTTTCAAGAGGTAAATAAGCATTCAAATCAGTTAATTAGCATCCCAAATAGCGTAAGCAGATCGAGGTGCAAGAATGAAAGGGAAAACCGATATTGTAATAAGCGAGGCAGGAGTAACCTTATGGTGTGAGGTGAAGATAACAGTATGTAAGTTACGAGATATGTATTAAGGACAGCTAATCCAAGCGGGAGTTGATAATCTATGACTTGGTTCATATATTTCATATGTTCTCTTGAACCATTCAACTGATGAGGGTTACTGTCACTTCTCCTGGGACACTATTTCAAGTGGGCCAACTTTTAAAGCGAAACAGTGGAAGCGTACCCAAGATGACCGCACCGAGTTACCCTCATATAAAATGAAAAGTCACCTTTGCTTCGGCTGCTTATACAATGTATTTTGAGCTCATACCCAAGTTTTCTCTGGTCGATCATCCTAGAACAATTGAGGGAAGGTTTTCATAGAGGACGAGGGTAGTTTGTGTTTCATCGGCCTGAATGCCTATGCCATGACATTTTGATAGGCCAAACTTTGACCTATTGTCTACCACCCATTTTCTTATTGTTTGGAAGCCCTTCTGAATATTCGTTCATGGACCTCCATTCCTTGCCACCATCGGCATTCTAGGGGCCGTTGAGCTAATTTTATCCAGAAGGTCATTGTTACGAGTCATGAGGAATAGCAGATATAAAACAGTTCATTGTGTAACTCCATATATTGAAATTCTTCAGTACACGAATACTCTGTGTACCACAGTGGAAAACATTCTTTCTTCTGGATAATTTCAGGCCAACGAGACCCATCCCCCCGACCTTTACTACGATTAGTGATTAAGGTCTTGTGTCCAATGCTTCTTTGAAGCCAATAAATATTATATAGACTTGTATGTTTTCGACCCAGCAAACTTTATAGCTATCTCAAGTTTGGACGTCCAGGGTTTCCATTTTTATGAGCTAGAGTTAGGCTACACGAAGGACGTTGCTTTTGACGTGTGGTGCACTGTGGTTTTCGCGCGCTTTTCGGGATTATAGATCAGATGCTGATACATGAGTGTGACGTCCTGCAACCAACCTATACGCCTAGGCGACCTTAAATAACCAAGTTACGGCAAGGACTTTGGAAACTGTTACTCGGCGCCTGACGCCTGACCCTATACTAACTGGCACCGAAGGAAGAGGAAGAATGCAATGCAAATGTCCATCAGTTCAAGATTCTTATTACATTTCAGACGTCCATTTACGTATGTAAAAGACAGGACTACACAGTAAATCGGTTGAGTAATAGTATTAGCACAGTACAAGAACATTATTGATGGGAAAAGGAGATACAGAACACACAAATAGTTGGTTCTAGTCAACAAACGGAAGACGCTATAGCAAAAAATCACAGTTCAAATAAAAGCTTAGAACAAAGGTAATAAGAAAATAAGTATACTAAAACCCATAAAATTAGATCAGTGTAGACAAATAAAACCGTAGGAAAATAGCTCTGAAAGTTCTCATCACGCAGTTAAGCCGTCACATGCAACAATGGATTACTTCCTGGGCGACAGGATATTTTACTTAGTATCAACCCGAGAGTTACATGGGAGTTTCTCTGACCATCGTTTTACACTGTGGTCAACAAGTACCAGAAACATCTCCCCTAGCTTCGAATTTTAGCGTTGTGTTTGTTTCCCTCCGTTCATTGTTAGCTACCGATAGAATCCTCCTGACAAAACTCCCCATTTGTGCCAGCTTCTTGCTTGCGCATGTTACAGTCATTCTGTGCTATGGTCCCTTTCTAGGTGTGTATTTTGTTTGAGGTACATTCTACAGGATAGCTTTCTGAATAGTGTCTCTCACTATCTGTAGTAGCCTATGCTACCTTTGTGACCATGAAGCATGTTGAAAATGCTCCTTCACAGCCGTGTGATCTTTCTTAGTATAACAAAGCAAGAAAGTATTCTCGTCCGTCTATTTGATTTGTGACAACTTCAAATGTGAATGTTTCACGGTCACTACTCACAATTGGTGACTGTACACGGATCTCCTTAATCGGAAGGTGACCATTAGATATTAGCTGGTAGAGTTTTCTATCTTTTCCGTACTTCCTTCATCCCGAAGCGTCTCTTTCAAATTCATTCAGGATTGAACTTTCGATTCCTTTGACTGTTTCCTTGTGAAACAGTCCTTTAAGTATCACATACTGACCGCTGGGATTTGTGGGTAGGGTTATATAATTATGGTCTACATCGTTATTAGTGCTCTTATAATAATAGACCTATCCCAAAATTGTAGATTTGTCATGTGATTATCTAATCTATAAGACTTTATGTGGAGGTCCCATCATTGTCTATTCTTAATTGTCGTATCGTGATACTCAACGTACGATGCTTAGCACTTAGGAAGAACACATTTTGGTTGGGGTTAGAATGATATATTTAATGTGGAAAGGTATGGGTTGTACAAGCATGAACACGCCCGCAGAGTTGAATCACGCCATTCTATTTAATGAATGTTCCCGCATTCACCAGTGTTGGCTTTTTCTCAATGTGTTATGTGTTGAATATCTATTTTCCCAGTTATCTCATGTTCAGCCTTGAGAATTGTGTGTTTACGATCAATAACACTACAGAGCGTTGAAGACTAATACTTCAGTATGATTGTGTGAATATCACTCTGAGTGTCTTCAGTGGCATCGAGCCCTAACCGCACAATCCTAAAAGCTGAACACAAGACAATTGGGAAAATAGTTATTCAAAATTTAACGAGGAGAAAAACCCAACGATGGAGAAGGCGGAAACAATGAGTTGAGTTAATTGATTAATCGAATTTTATGGCTTGGCATTACAGGCGTGGTCACTCTTGAGCGTTTTCTTATATCTTTTATTCATATTAAATATATCGTTCTATTCTTAGCCTGAGGTTGTTCTTCACCATATATTGGTGCTTGTTACGATGCAATCAGTTGATGTAGACAATGGTGTAACTTACACGTAAGATCTTATAGATTAGGCAGTTACATCATGACAAATCTACAATTTTAAGATTAAGTCTATTATTAGAGTAGAACTAAAATTGCAGTAGACCATAATTCTAAATTGGTATGCCCGACTGAAGAAACGCAACCTAATATTGTTAATCCTTAATTCCACTTTAATTTTCTCGATCTATTTTTACTTATGTAAACCTATTATCCTAATAGTCCTTTTGATTAATGCTCTCATGTATTGTCGTAATGTTATATTGATTAGTACTCATAACACACTAACGCATTCGATACTAATAAGTGGTCGTCTATATTAA